TATGATTTGCAAGGGAATCTTGTACCATTCTTCCTGAAAAACATGGTAAGTTCTGTTATCGATGATGGAGGTGGATAGCGTGCACGCAGATTGCTCTCCAAAACAGACCACAAAGGCTCAATAATATTGATATATGGCGATTGTGGGGGCCATGGCAGACGTGACACTTCATCTTTGTTGTCAGAAAACCAGTCCTGGACGATGTGAGCTACGTGAACGCAGGCATTATTGGCTTGGTAAATGGCATCACCATTAGGGAACAAAGTTTGCACCATGGGATGGACCTGGTCGCCCAAAATGGTCGCATAGTCGTTGGCAGTGACGTGACCTTGCAGGGTAATGATGGATCCGACAGAATACCACGATATGGCTGCCCATACCATGATCAAACCCCCGCCATGTTTCACTCTTGGCAGCAAACAATGTGGATCGTAAGCTTGGGATGGCGTTCTCCAGATGTAAACTCGGCCAGAAGTCGGGAACAGTGTGAAGGTGGACTCATCCAACCAAATGACCATCTTCCATTGCTCCATAGTCCAGGTTTTATGACTTCAGCACCACACTGTCCTCTTAGTGGCATTTTGATCACTGATGAGTGGCTTTGGAATTGCAGCTCATCCAGAAATACCCTGCTTATGGAGTTCCCTTCATACTGTTTTGGTGCTGACAGGGTTTGTGAGCATGACATTCAGTTCAGCGGTCACTTTTGTAGCTGTAGTCTTCTTATTTTTCAATTTTTCATCACAATCCTACACAATGTTCGTCTGTCTTGATCACTCAACACACATTTCCGTCCATGCTTGTGTTTATTGGATGTGGGTTTTTCAGTCCTGTATGCGGTCATAATTTTGATACTGTGCCTCGTGAAAGACCAAAAACCTCAGCTACCTTGGTTATGGAAGCACCTGCCATATGGACCCCAACAATTTGCCCGCGTTTGAATTCTGTTAGCTCTGACGTGATGCACAAAAAATTGCACAGAACACTGTCTTGACAACAAATGAAGCTTGCAACGTATTGCGGAGGTTGTACAGGTAGTGGTGTTGGGCAGATATAACAGCGTGACCTACAAATGTCACTGAAATAAACACTTCAATTCAGGCATGCATTTCACGAGGTGTCTCCATATTTTCGTTCATCCCCTGTATATTTTATTGGTACAGTGAGCCATTTTAGGAAGTTTAGTACTATTTAGACCTTGAGCAGATAAGCGTGTTTCCATGATTCTGATTCTTTTTCTCTTAGGGCTTGTTATATCCTGAAGTGCAGTGAAGAAAGTGGTCTTACAAACTACATGCTAAAGCTTGCATTTCAACTTGACTCAAGCGAAAAATGTGCTGTTGCAGTACAATTGAGGGCACTGAAGTGCCTGATGGCTGTCTCTTGCACTGATGCACTGGAGGAACTTACTGGCAGAAATATTGGTGACATTCGGTAATGACTTTTCTCTTATTATATGATTTAACCCTCTCATTCTGGTATTCACAGCTGCGGTTGAAAGTATGGGTAGTTGAAAAAAGTGACTTGCTGCAATTTATTACAAGTGTGGCTGTATCAAATGTTTGTTGAATTCAGATTTTACATGCACTAGAACCTTTTCACATGATCAGCCACGTCATGGTCAAGTTGAATACGAACACTTTTGGAGATAGGAAAGTCTTTGAAACATTGGGTCTCAGCTTAGTCATGACACAGATGATTGTCTGAGAAGATTTTAGTGCATTCATTCACTGTGAAGGTTTGGAATCATATTTTAAAATTTTTTAAATTCATATTTGTCATGATTTTTGTACTTTCTGTCAGTGTGCTTAATGTTTGTCTATGTCCAGGAAATGATACTAGTTACCAATTAATTACTATCTGGCCTTGCTGATCTTGTGGTCCAAGGTTTGTGGGTTCACTCCTGGCCAAGGTAGATGGATTTTTAAGGGAAATAGAAATCCATAGCACAACTTCCTTCAGAAGGGAAGTAGAGTCAGGGGTCCCATGTACATTTACAGCATGTAAAAGAACATTTCACTCATGATAAGAGACAAAATTAGATGCAACTCAGTCGCCCACAAAGCTCCCTAAGCTCTGCAGTATCACAACTGTAGAGACCTTGGTGGATGAGAGTGGGAATAACTTCAAATCACTCACCCTGACTGGACTGGATAACTTAACCCACCCACCATTATTTGCATATTCACATTAGGCAGCTTATACTGTTGCATCTCTCTTGCTGGGACCAGAGAAATATTCTAGATAATTCAGGTTTTGTATTATTGTTGTAAGTATATAACTGCTGAAATGAAACAAATGTACATTTCAATTAAAATAATATTTCACTAGTTTAATAATGTTGACAGCTAGAATGAATGACCACATAACATCTTAATTTTCCTTCTCTCTGTTATCATTATTGCTTATAACTGCAAAATGGTTTTACCTCTATTTCCACTATTGATCTCCTAACTTGCAGATCTCCACATAATTGTTCTATAACAAAATGGTTCCACAGTGAAGAGGTTACTATTTCTGATCAAACATTATACTGGCACATCAGATGTAAATGCCTCACATTGTAATCTTGATGGAAAGGACTAACTAATTAACTCACGGAGCTGAGCCCTTCTTGAGAAACTGCCAGTTATGCAGCTACTCAAGAACCTCCCAATATTTTATGGAACCCAAAGGTTCGTTGTCATGTTCACAAGAGCCCTTCACTGGTCCCTATCCTGAGCCAGGTTAATCCAGTCTATACCACCTCATCCTATCTTTCTAAGATCTACTTGAATCCATGCACATACTGTATGTCCAAAAAGTATCCGACTTTATTTTTTCCACTGTAAGTAATGGCCAAAGGGGTGGGGGAACTGAGCGTAGTGGTAGAAGGGACTTTCATGTGCATGCCTGATTTTTTACTGACTCGCAACCCTGCCGGATGCGTCTGTTGCTGCCAGATAGCGAAGTGGTGTAACACGTGTTCACCACATTCTTGTTCCGCTCAAGATGACAGAACGCTTGGAGCAGCGATACTGCATTAAGTTTTGTCAGAAACTTGGGGATACCCAAGCGGAAACAATTCGCAAAATTCAGCAGGCTTTCGGCGATGATGCAATGGGGGTCACTCAAATTAAAGAGTGTTTCAACCGCTTTAAACATGGCCGTATGTCGGCGGACAGTGAGCACCGTTCCGGGAGACTGTCAGTGCTGATGTCATTGAGAAAGTGTGGACACTGATCATGGAGGACCGTCGTTTGGCCATCCGTGAAGTTGCTGATGAGGTTGGGATCAGCAGAGGTTCCGCAAACAGAATTTTAACTGAGGATTTGGGCATGTGAAGAGTGGCGGCAAAATTTGTGCCCAAACTGCTTTCGCCGGAGCAGCAACAACTCCGCCTTGAGGTCACGCAGGACATGCTGGAGTGCGCCAACAGGGATCCTGAGTTTCTGAAGACTGTGATCACTGGTGATGAGTCGTGGGTGTACGGATATGACCCAATAAAGAAGGTCCAGGTGTCACTATGGAAGCATCCAACATCGCCGAGGCCCAAAAGAGCATGACAGGTTTCGAGCAATGTGAAGGTGATACTGACTTTTTTTCGATTACCGGGATGCTGTGCATCATGAGTACGCACCACTAGGCCAGACTGTGAATAAGGAGTACTACCAAGAAGTCCTCCGCCATCTCCGTGATGCAGTTCGGCACAAGAGACCGGAGCTGTTGGACGCTTGCAACTGGCAGCTACATCATGACAACGCCCCAGCTCGTTCATCGCACCTGATCCACGGTTTCCTGGCCAAGCACGGCATTCCGCAGGTTCGCCAGGCTCCCTACTCTCCTGACATGGCTCCTTGTGATTTCTGGCTGTTCCCAAGATTGAAGACACCACTAAAAGGCTGCCGTTTTGACAGCCGCGAGGCCATCATACAGAATGCGATGGCGCAGCTGCACACCATTCCAAAAGATGCCTTCCAGAATCACTTCCAGCGATGGAACGACCGCTGGACTAAGTGTGTGTAGTCACAAGGGGTTTACTTTGAAGGCGATTAGGTACTGTAATCACCCAGATACAGAACTTTTTTTCCTGGCCCAAGGTCAGATACTTTTTGGACAGAGCAATGTGTCTTGGGCTTCCTAGTGGCCTCTTTCCTTCTGGCTTTCTGACCAATATCCTATATACATTCCTCTTCCTAATTCGTGCTACATGCCCTTCCCATCTCATCCTCCTTGACTTGGTCATTCTAATTATACTTGGAGAAGAGTACAAGTTGTGAAGGTCCTCATTATGCAGTTTTCTCCAACCTCCTGTCACTTTATCTCTCTTTGGTCCAAATATTCTCCTGAATACCCTCTTCTCAAATACCCTCAGTCTGCGTTCATACCTTAATGTCAGAGACCAAGCTTCACACCCATACAGAATCATAGGCAAAATTATAGGTTTGTCTATTGTAATTTTTATGTTTTTAGACAGCAGATGGGAAGACAGAAGGTTCTAGACTGAATGAACACAAGCATTACCTGAATTCAGTCTCCTCTTAATTTCCTCCTGAATCAAATTTTGATTTGTTACTGTTCTCAAATATTCAAACTGTGCCACATTTTCAAAGGATTTGTTTCTTATCTTTATGTCAAGATTTTACCCTGAATTCTGGTGATGAGATAACAACATATACTTAGTTTTCTGTGTGTTTTCTTCTACACCAGCCTCCTTACCAGTTTCAAAGTTTCTGTGTTTTTCTTTATGGTATTGTCACATGTATTGAGTTACAGTAGACAGGGTTTGGGTTGCTCCAACTGTTGATTCTCAATTAACTGTCCTGGTTATGGCATCTTGGTGCAGACTGCCTAAAAATATTGTTCCTCATTGTTATACTTCGGTCATTTCCATGGGATCATATTTGATTGTGAAGCCGTTACCCACCAACAGCTGTTGTATAATTGCTTATGTCACGGTCATTGCCCAGCAGTGGGTCTACATACAACAATATCTGTGTAATCTCCAAGTAGATTCACATCAGCACCATAGACCAGCAGCTGATGTGTCTCATTTAATCTCAGTCCTACCTGGTTTTACTGGACCTTCCTAATGGCATGTTCTAAAGCAAAGTTGAAAAGCAATTGTAATAAAGCATCTTCTTGTTTTAGACCATTTTGGATAGGAAACTTATCAGACAAACACGTACAGGACATCAAAGAATCCTCTTCTTGAAAACGACAAGGTGGCACACTTTCAAGCCCCGTCAAGTGAAATAATAAGAATGACAACATGAACTTACTTGATTTATAAATTCCAATAAAATCTTAACAAACCAATTACAAATATTTTAATGTATTGGAACAGACACTGTAGTTGTAAAAACTTTAGATTTTATACCCAATTGTATAGTATTAATATTATATGTATATATTTTAACATTCAGAACATATAGTGTAATAGTAACTTCCAACTGTATTGATGTAAAGGTGTCCCTCTGATGACAGTCTCTGAAGACCGAAACATGTAAGGGCATAAATAATTGAAATAAGAAAAATCTTCACCAGATAGAATTGTTTAACTTTTCATGAGAATTAACGAGTTTATGGATCTCAGACTGTAATGTTTCACCTATTGCTTGAATCAGTTCTGCTGTAATTTGATCACTACCTGGTATTTTCATCTTTACAATAGCAAATTCAACCTCAGAAGGACTAGAATCGGGTACGAATGGCTCGTCTATATGTATTTCTGTCTGCCTAACATCACTATCCCTACGTACATTCAATAACTGAGAGAAGTATGTTGTGCGTTCAAGTTCTAAGGTCTCCGATTTTTTTCTCACACAATAATCATACAAAAAATTTGAAACTTCTGTCACTTTTCAACGTAATCTCCCTGCAGCTGTACACATTTTTCACAACGTTGACACCATGATTCCATGGCCGCTGCGAACGCTTCTATAGGAGTCTGTTTTGACCACTGGAAAATCGCTGATGCAGTAGTGGCATGACTGGTGAATGTGCGACCACGCAGAGTGTCTTTCATCATTGAGAAAAGCCAAAAATCGCTAGGAGCCAGGTCAGGTGAGTAGGAAGCAAGAGAAACCACTTCAAGGTTGTTTTCAAGAAGAAACTGCTGAGTCACGTACGCCCAATGCACTGGTGCATTGTCCTGGTGAAAGAGCACACGTGCAGCCTTTTCAAGCCGTTTTGCTTGCAGTGCCGGAAGGAGCTTTTTCCTCAAAACATCTTGGTAGGATGCACCTGTCACAGTAGTGCCCTTTGGAACACAATGAGTAAGGATTATGCCATCGCTGTCCCAAAACATGGCAACCACCATTTCTTCAGCACTGGCACTTACCCAAAATTTTTTTGGTGGTGGTGAGTCTGTGTGCTTCCATTGAGCTGACTGGCGCTTCATTTTAGGATTGAAAAACGGCATCCATGTCTCATCCATTGTCACAATTGATGAAAACAAAGTCCCATTCATGCCTTCATCATGTGTCAACATCGCCTGGCAAATTGCCATATGCACAGCCTTGTGGTTGTCCGCCAGCATTCGTGGCACTCACCTGGAGGACACTTTCCACATTCGCAGGTCTTCATGCAGGATTGTGTGGACAGATCCCACGGAAATGCCAACTTCAGAGGCGATGTGTTCCACACTCAATCGGCGATCCTCCAAAACAACGTTCTTAACTCATTCGACCATGTTGTCAGGCCAGCTGGTGCGAGGCCGAGATTGTTTTGGTTCGTTGTCACATTACGTTTGGCCTTCTTTGAACTGTTGCACCCGCGAAAGCACATTTTTCACATTCATGACACCATCACCACATGTCTCACTCAACTGGCGATGAATTTCAATGGGTGTTGCGCCATGCAAGTGGAGAAAACGAATGATTACTCGCTGTTCTTGTAACGAAAACGTCGCCATTTTAGGTATCAAAAACACTCCTCACTCTCGCTGCCTCCACTAGAGTTCTGTGTGCTGTACAGTGCTGCAGTCTCTGTCACGCATTCATGAAGAGTGGACACGTATTTTAAACTAAACAGCATGTGTCTATCTGCTCACAGTCCTGAGAAAACAAATCAGATATCTTAGAACTTGAACGCCCCTCATAGTTCTTTCGTCTGTTCAAATTATTTTGGGCTAAGCTACTTCTAGCTTGGTAAGCCCTCTTAAATTTATTTATTCCTCTATACAGGCCTCTAATGTTCTTATTCATTGCAAGCTTATTAATTTTGACTTTCAGATATTCCCTCTTTTTATTGCTAAAATGCCTGCTGGCTTCAAACATTGTTCAGATTATCCCAATTTATTTCACTCAGGTAAAGTGGGGAGACACCTACTCTGTTGGGTCTCTTAGAAAGAGATAACCTCAATCACTGGACCTCGTGACGGGAACAGATCCAGTTCGTGAAACGTTGCATTCTGTAGTTTTTTTTTTAGAATATCTGAGGATGGTCCAAGAACCCAGTAATTTTACATACAGTTTTGTTTTCAAGACTGTTCTGTTTATTTGAAGTCACTATTTCTGTCTTGTCATGAATTTCTATAATTGCACTGTAGGGTCATAAGACATTTTCAATTTAATATGTTTCAGACAAATGTTCCAGAGTCTCCAATATGCAAGTGAATTAGAGATGCTTGGATGCAGCTATTCTTTGCCAGGTTTTGAGTCATGCAACAAACTGGAATTAGTGAAAGTTATATGGAGTTCACAGAGCAACAGCCCACAAGCCCTTATTCTAATTGCTCGCATATGTGTGGATTTTGGAATTTATCAGGTCAATGTCTGGGCATCACTGCTTCAACAGATGGCCAAATATTCTATGGTAAATGCATATTTTTTGTTGCAGACTTGAATACATTGTAATATTGCTCAGCGTTTATCCCACAACATTCTTTGAACAGTCATGCATATATTTGGGCCCAAAACTGATGCATGTTATTTTTCAGCTTAACAAATTAAGGAAAGTGGTCATGTAATGGACATTAATGATAGGAAATTCTGTAAAAGTTATGTACTAATTATTAATGTTTCTCATGTTTAAAAGTTTACAAGTGTCCCATAAGTTCAGAAACAGACAATACTGGAGTTTTGACAGCTGTTACAAATACAGCGAAATACCCATTTAAGGTTTCTCTGGAGAGCAGTGGATTTGAACACTAAACTGAGAAAAATTTTAAATGGAGATAATTTATCACTGAAATTATTGACGTTAGATCATTGAAATTGAATGTTAAATGGGAATAACCTTAAATTGAGTAACATTAGATGAGGTTTCCACTGTATGCTCACTGAGTCCTCCATTCATACTGAAACAAACATACAAACATTTCTGCCAGTCCAAGCAAAAGGGGTGAATTGCTTGTGGTGTGATCTCACTGTGATATGGTCCTGAAGATGCTATTGCCCAATGGTTCCAGACTTAGCACATTGTGAATATTACAATTTCTGTGCCCCATTCTTTCAGAATATATTTTGCTCTCGAGATACTATTAAAGAGTGTTAATGTATTTAGTAGTAGACAGACATTCCGTATTTGGTCTGAGTTTTGCTAAATCAAATTACATAAAGTCTTTAATTAAGTTGGAATAAACTAAATTCCTTTGGGACATACATGAGCAAGTTAATGAAAGAACAATTTGGAAATTTAAAGTGAATGTCAGCCAGTTCATACACCATTTAGTACCTTGCACAGTGTATGACAAAGAAAGCAGAGAGACTTTCAGATATTGTTTGGTCTCTTGCACACTGTTTAAAAGCTTGTGTTATTGGTATGATATTTGCAACAAAAGAAGGGCTTTATAATATTTCTCCCAATGCTTTTGTTTTAAGAAATAAGAAAATATGGAAATATTGAATCAGTTTATGTCATGAAGTAGACCTGCTGAATTTGATGAGTATGTATGATTTTTGACACATTCTAAATCCAATGGTGTGTGAACTTGTTTCTCATCCTGTAATTGGATCCACTTGAGCTTTTAAATAGTGTTTGACTTGAAGAAAGCAGTCATCTGGGATGTGGCACTGTGTAGATATTGTGTGTGTTTATTCGACTCGATATAATTCTGTTAGCACCTGCTCACACTACTTCCTCTCTCGTGGATTTTCTTCTTTTTTCTTCAACCCTGAAGTTGGAGGCAATACGTTCCTCTGAAACGTCAGTTAACACAATATCTACATGGTGCCACATCCCAGAAGACTGCTTTCTTCATAGTCACCACCGTGAAAACCTTCAATCTTACATAGTGTTTGATTTGATCGTTTGAATGTTTGAATTCTAATGCATTTGATGACTGAGTTGGCAAGACTGTCAAATAATGGGGTTGTGACCTGCTTCATGATATTTTCTTAACATTCTTATGTAGAAATTAAGGAAAACCATGATAAACCTCAATAAGGTTAACTATAATGCAGTCAAAATTTGGCTGTTGATCAAGCAGTTTCTCTGACACATCCCTAATACAGGTTTTTCCTAGCAACACATTGTACTCTTCAAAATCTTTTAACATTATAAATAACAATAACAAAAGTGAATAAGTCTGTTTTACTATATTCTTTAATTTAAGTCCTGTCTTGGTGTGGCCTTTTTAACCAGTCAAAAAGATTTTTTTTTCTGAATGCCTGTACTTTAAATGAAACATGATCCAACTTTGGAAGCTTTTGGTCCTGAATCCATGTAAACTAGAAGAAATCTGGAAAGCAGTTTGCTATTGACGAATAGAATAGAGTGAACTGGTGTATGTCCCATTTTTCTGACACTGTTTTTGAGCCTTAGTTTGTACAAGCATTCAATGTCCTTAGAGATAAAGTTACAGACAATCTGCTGTTTTAATTTATCTGCAGTGGTTCATTACTACAGTTATACCATGTGCAAGTACCATTCCAAAACTTCATTTACTACATACATTAACAGACTTTTACCCCTCCACCCTAAAATCAAGCAGAAAAATAGCAGTTTACCATGACTCAGACCCCGACTGTTTAGAATGTCTCTTGCAGTTATGCAATCATTGCACTAGATTTAATCATATTGTTGACATGTATCTTGTTATGGGACTGCATATTTTCAGGTCCGTGAATTAGAAATATTGCTGCTTCACCTAGCAGACCTAGGTCATATTCTGAGCAGCAAAGAATACATAGCAGCATGGGAGTCAGTGCTCTTTGCACCATTCCTCAAGGGTAAGCTGTGATCAGACATTCCTTTAACTGGGCAATACTTCATGAATATTAATGACTGGTGATGTACAAGGAACATGCCTCGAATGTTATTAGGTTTGAATTCTCTTCTGATTAGCACTTATTTTTCTGAAATACATGATACCATGGACTTCACAAAGTGAGACACAGGATGGCGTGAATAGAAATATGTGGTGCAGAGTGCTTTCTAGACACTTTGATTCTTTGTTCTTGTCATGCTCTGCCATAACCAGTGGCTTAATATGTGTTTACACAATTGTCTCAGATGAACAAGAAGATGCCTGCATTCACAGCTTAATACTACTTCAGTCATGTCCAATTCTGCGCAGAGTTAACTTGAATATTGTTATTGAGCACAGCATGCGGCTGCATTGGCCTCATTTGGCAGCAGCGCTTTTACCCTTTTTGGAAAAAGAAGACTTTCATCTACAGAAGCAGGTGTGAAATACTTTTTCTTCAGTTCTTCTCTTAAAATATTGTTCACTGAGATACTCTTGTGACTGTGTATGGTGATAATATTGAACTATATACTTAACCCTTCAAAGCACAATGAATACTATATGTACCACCTGCTTTAATGTTAGAAACCCTACTATTTGCTCTACAGAGAGTATACTTGTGTTTCATATAATTCTCAGAATAAACCGACTATTTTCCTGAATAGCATTAACTGATTAGTCTTTTGTGTAATGTTTTTAGTGCGACATGGGAACTGAATTTTTCAGTATATTTGGATGAATTTCAAGCTTCAAGGTGTAATACACTCTTTGATAATAAGATGTAAATGTTCAGCACTGCTTATACCACAAAATAATTCAGAGTGAATATAGTATTGTTCACATCCTCACATCTGGCCTCCCTGATTCTTTTTAATACTAACCTCCCATTTCCTTATTGGACATCCACACCAAAAACCTGTATGCATTTCTTATTTGTGCACTCTTAAGCTCTTGTCCAGCCCACCAATACCTTGTATGATTACCCAAATAATAGGCCTTCAGTTAACTGTATTATTTAAGATGTTACTCATTGTGTGATATGGGTTGTTTCTGCCTTCTTATCATGGTTGAAATGGTTTTCTTGGTATTTATTTTTGCATACTTTCAGTTTATGTTCTTCTGTTAGAAAAAATAGTACTATTTTTGGAACTGAATAGTAATAAGCTTTTCTTTAACTTATTCTTGTCTTGTTATATTTTAGCGTCCTGTTGCACTGATTTATGTCCATGATTTATTCTAACCATCTTACAGTGCACACATTTATTCACCCCACTCTTCTCTCCCGCACTACATGTTTCAGCACAAAAGTGCCATCTTCAGGTGCCCCCTGATGCACGTCAAGCTANCACGCAGTCACAGGAGCAAGACACAACACAAAGCACAATAGGATAGGTGTGACTCGCGTATTGAGATACGAAGTGGGGATGACGAATCCTGAACAGTTTTAATATTTTTAATGTTTAAAATTTATCAATATATATATGACGAATATATATTTTAGTTATTTTGGTAAGACAGCAGGGCATGCAGTGAAGTAGTTTGACGTGCATCAGGGGGCACCTGAAGATGGCACTTTTGTGCTGAAACATGTAGTGTGGGAGAGAAGAGTGGGGTGAATAAATGTGTGCACTGTAAGACGGTTAGAATAAATCATGGATATTCTTGTCTTGTTGTTATTAAGTACTTCATATTCTCTGTGTTACTGTTGCTCCCAACTATTTAAATTTTGAAATATTTTCAAATGCTTATTTCTGATACTTTCATATGACTAAAAATGAATAAATGATTGTTGCAAGACTAATGAATGTTTAATGAACATTTTAAAAATGCTGAATTTATGAATATTTATTATTGAAAGTATATGCCATGTTATGCTTTTTTTATTGTTACCATGTAACATGATGGACACACAGTTTTTGTGAATATGTTCAACACTCAACACAGACTCACAAAATACAAGATTGTTGATACTTAATTAGAACTATCCATACAAGAATTTATATTTGGTCCTTGTCTACAGAAATAAATTCAAGACAACATTTAAAATTTTCCTGTCATAAAACTTTGCCATCAGCTCAACCAATCACAGACAACCAATCACAGACAACAGGTTTTCTCTATGTATCCAAGATCCTAGTAATCCAAAGAAGAAGTCCAAACTCCAAAATATCCTGAATTTAGATTTGTAACATACTCCAGTAGAGAAACTAGAATTGGATATTGACTGTTAGTTGGGAAGCCTCTTTGAAAGTGGCCCAGAGAATGCTGTGGAGGTAGGATAATGTTAATGGGGAAATAGATGGTGAAGGTGTAAACTGGATTGAGTATGCTGAGCATCATTTATAATGGTGGGCTGTGGTATTAGAAGTTTTTCTTTTTATGTTCGTTTAACAGAATTAGTTCCTCCTCTATCCAAAAACAGTATGTCCTGTATTATGAATTAAAAACCTGGTAACCTGTATTACATTTGTGAAAATATGAAATCACAAGATCTGCTTCATTTATTTCAGAAGATACTTAGATCAAATGATGCAGAAGAGCTCATCAAAAAGTTGAAGGAACTTGCAACTAAAGGTGTTCTAACTGCAGAGAAGGCAAGTATATTTGAAAATTTGCTTGTAACGTTTCTTAATTATATAAAATTGACCAAACAAGTTGGCTCAAATGGTTATGATTATTATACTGTAGCATCCTGTTGCACTTTTCATTTTGTGTTGATGCAGAACTGTGTTCTGTAAAATTTATTAGAAGTTATTCACTTTAAAAGTTAAAAGTCTGTCACTATATATTTTGACCAATGTGGTCATCATCAGACAGAACAAGACACACAGTGCAACATACAGCAGGAGACAACACAATCCACCAACTCAAAAACATATGCGCATCAAAGGAACTTGTATATTAACAAAATAAACAACAGACGACAGCAGCCCAATAATTTTAACACCTGATGATGACCATATTGGTCAAAACATGTAGTGATGGACTTTTAAACTTTTAGTAAATTTTATAGAACGGAGTGTCCCACATGAGACTGCAAAAAACTAGTCGACACTAAGGTTAATCTTACGACTTATAGGGGGGAAGTTCCTGGTCTGAATTTCAGCCATGACACTAACTTTTGCAAATTTCAGGGGCAAATAAGCAGGTGTGCTACACACACTTATGATAAATTGACATCAGCACAAAGAATATTTGTTAATTCTATTGTTAAACTGAACATGTTGACAAGATGAGCTCTGTCCAAAAAAGAAAGTAAAATACAATTAAAAATGATGAACTATAGTTTCATCTGTTGCCATTGAAGGGGGGGAGTAAGTTTGGTTTATTGTTCAAGCTCACAGGGTAAAAGTGGCAAAGAGGTTAGAAAGCGCCCAGAACTAAAAGAATTTACTGCAGAAAAATTGGTTTTCTGATTTATAGTTTTAGTAGAAAGTTTTAATTTAATATTCATATTGAAATCTGCCATTAAAAGAATTTGTTATATCTGTGAACAAATTTTGGAGTTCCTGTTCAGAAACCCATTTATATAGTAATTAAATCACTCTCCACCATATCAGAAAAAATTAGGGGAATATTATTTTCTGTGTATGTTCTGTATCACATCGTCATACAGTTTGTATCATGCGCATGGACTTTACATTTTCGTTCTGGGGTGAGTCATGCTGGGGATGTTATGTTGTTATGTTTGATATGCAGGTATCCCACTAGTTGAGAAGGTAATTTGTTCTATGAAAATTGTTCATAATGTGAAAATTTGTAAATTGAAAATGAAATTTCTATGTGCTTTAGATATTAAAGTTGCTGAACTTATGAATCTACATAAGTTGTTCATTGTACCGAACATGAGTTTCATTAATGAAAAATAAGTACAAATTAACATGCTTCGTTGCAGCAAAAAATCATAAATGAGGGACACCTGTATTATTAGTTGGCTTGCTGTAAGAGGGTAGAACTTTTATTTTGTTTTAATGTAATTGGTTATTTACCAACACTGTCAGTATTGAGACTGTAGTTTTGGCTGATGGGTTAATTAATGAGTGTGGAGCAATTGGTGGAATGATAATTGGCAAGGGAAACCAAAGTACTTGGAGAGAGCCCACCCCAACATGACCTGACATGAGGTTAAATGCGGGCCACCACAGTGGGAATCCAGTGACTAACCACCTTAGCTATGGCACAGCCTTTGTTCTTTGTTGATCTTGCAGAGATCACCTGATGTTCTGAGAGCCAGTCCTTAATTTTTTACTCTTATATGGGTTCCAGAAGCTTACATTAATAAGGCTTCAATGGGAAGCACTGTGTAATTCACTTGAAAAATATGAAAAAAAAACAGGTGTGGTGCAGCACCAGACTTCATTTGTCTTTTTTTTTTTTCTTTTTTTTGGTTCTACAGTGCATGGATCTGTGGTGTTCTGTGTCATGAATATTGTCTTGTTTTCAATTACAACCTTATTAATACCAGAGTTTCTGTGGAGTGAAATTAAATGACTATTCAGCATAAAACCCTGGCAGTCGGAGCCAGTTGTAGTGAAACTGTTGCAAATTATTCCATCATACTTGTATTTTTCATTACCACTTCTGGGATAGCTCAGTCAGACTGAGGTTTGATTCTTGGCAAGGTGCAAGATATTTTGTTCTCCATAGTGTCCAGTCTTGCTCTGGGGCCCTCCCAGTCTCTGTTTAGTAGGTACCAAATACTGTATTTAAAATGGCAGAGGCATGAAACTGGTCACTCACGTCCATCTAATGTCGGTGTCAGTTGATGGAGCTGTATGTCCATTCACCAATATGTTTTCCTGGAATAGTGTTTGATTACATAAATAAGTACAAAGGCTAACTTTACTCCCCCCCCCATTTTGTTAGAAATACACAGGGAATACTTACTAAGTGGCTTGATCTGTGTTCCGATCTCCTACCCATACAGTGAAAGTTGAACCTATGAACTTTTTCAGATATTTTTAGCCATATGGTAATTTAAATTAAAAAATACTATGAAGATGACTTTCCCACTTGTGTCCTAAGCCTGGTTGAGCACAAGTAAGGGTTCTTCTGATTTTCTGGCCTTGTCAGGTAATCTTAGCCCTTTGGCTAGGTAATGCAATGAGACATTTAAATGAGGTGAATTTTAGCTATAAGCACATGTCAAGGAGAAGGAAGTGTGTTCTTGGCTATGTGAACTATATATTCACATTATTTACCTTTTTCTTTTACAGGCAATTCAACTTCTACAACCTGATGAAGAAGCACTTGGTACTGGAATCATCAATCACAAAAGATTGGTTCCAATTCGCAGCTGCAATACAGAAGATTCTTAAAGCAGTATACACCTGTACAAAGTAGCAGTAAAATATTAGAATCCAAATTGACCCATCTAACATTTCATACCTTCTTTTCAGCAATATTGAAAACGTAACCAATGTTCTTTCATGGTCCAGTTGTAAACTATGTTTGAACTTATGAATACATGAGAAGAGTTCAGTAGAAGTCATTATTACTGATGCACTACTCGCATTGAATTCACAGGTACTGTTTGGTGCAACTAGTCTTTTAATCAGCAGATCAAAATGCCCAGCATGTTTCAGCCATTTATTGAAACTTATTCATAGATCTATGCCTCAATTAATATTGACATTTAATGTCAATGTAATTCACAATGATTCACAATATATTTCTCCAATATTTCAGTGAACTTCTACAGGACTACATGGCATTATCTTGGAAGATGTTCCTCTTCGTAGTCACTGCTGTGAGGCCTTCAAGTCCAAAATATTATTCCATTTGTACAATTCAGCGAACTCAGCCCATGAACAACTAATTTATTTCTTAACCTAAAATTAACTTTTTGGTGATATTATTGTAAGCATTCCTAGATATTACCAAAATGTTTATGTATTCTTGTAGATTTTCACTCATCCACTTTCACAGGCAGGTCAGATGTATAGATATTGTAACGTGTTTATTGCCACTGAAGACGCCATTCAGATGTTAATTGGTTTATTTAAAAACCTACAAGTCTTGGCTACAATTAATTATAACACTGTTACGGGTTTACACAATTTACAACCCTACACAATAATCAATTCACTCTATCCTCAGTAGTTACAAGTTTTTATAACGCAGGAGTTATACAAGTGCAACTTAATTACTCACTACCAATACATTCTCGGTTATCACAAGCTATCACTGATTATCACACACGCGTCCGGTTCTTTTTTCCGCAACTGCTGCTATACTCCAACTGTCTTCGTAGGCAGTGTAGTTCTCTTATAACCCTCAGCCGGACAATGGGAAAAAGCCTTGCTTCCTTGTTGCCTAGTCACGTGTTTACCGATAGCCTAGCAATGCTGTCAGGAGTTGTTTACTTGTGCATAGCAACCGCGGCATCCCGTGGTCACGTCATCACGGGAGAGGGCAGGGTGTTGACTTGCTTGTTACTGTAGTAACGACAGCACTCCGATGCCACCACGTCACCGCTGGGGAGGGAGGGGGTGTACTCCATAGCACAACATGTCACAATATTATAGATGTAATACAGAATTAGTAGTTACTAATGAGATGGTACTTTCATATTTTCTGATTTGCATAAAGACTGCATAATTACATGAGATTTGTGTATTATATTGCATAGTCTTTATATCATAATATATATTGTTATAAGTAAAAATAACTGCTACGTAATAAACTTGGAACTGCTTCTGACTTCACTGTATTTTCATTGTGTTGTCCATTCCTATTTAGTGTGATAGGGTTGAAATTGCCTTGGGCACAGTATAACATTTCCCTTTTTTCCAGTAAAATAATGATCTTCTCTTGCATCCTGTTTACTGGTATTGCCTTTGATATTGTTTCTTTTGTGGGAGCCTTTAAATACTACTTACCTTACGTCCATTTTGGTAGCAGTTCATAACCATTTTGAACTGTATAGCTGTGGTTTTGTAAAGATGTAGTTTCAGTAATTTTGTTATGTTGAGCATGGATAATTTACATTGAGGCATTGAATTTTTATATGAATATTTTGATGTGCTAGTGGTTAGACACTGAGTTTTGAGTGATAATTGATTTACTGAATGCTTGTAACTAATAATTGTAAATACCTATAACAGTCTCACTGATTTACATCCTCCTTAGATAGCTACAATTACAACACACATAAAGTCATCTCTTTGTTAATTGGTCATTACTAGTCATTGCTAGATAGCGGCTTCTGACAATGCAACTCAAGACTGACTGGACAGTTGCTGAGTCCTTGCTATGTAGCCTTGGCATGGACCTAATAGAAAACACCGCTTCCAGCAGTTCTCCTATTATTGCATATTTATTTATTGTCATGGAAATGTGTTTACTGTGCCATTGCCTGCCTCTTTTTGTTCCAGTATTCCAGCTTTCAGTCGTCATGTTACAATATTTTGAATATTGTGTGAAATGTAAAAATGCAGAACAAAATATTTTGGGGCTGCAGTTCCCCACAGAAACATTCAATAGGTAACAAAAATATTGTGTATTAATAAAAGAGAAGGTGGATGGTATTGGAACTGGACTTGAGAACTTGTCTAGTAAGCCTGTTAAGTGCCTTAACCTTTAAGATCCGAGCGACTCCATATGGCGTCATGAAAATAAAGTCAAGGGGAGGAATGACGCCATATGTCATCGCGCAGTCCACGCGTGCGGCCGGCTTTTAAAATCTAATTTTAAGTTATAAATTCTTTTTCTACTTACATGATTTTTGGTCACCAGCTTTATAAGTTGTCTCTCTTCCCACCTGCGTTGTCTAACGGACTGTTGGTTTCGTGTGGAAATCTTGGAAACATCCGGAAATCCAGTGTCTGACGTCGCTCTTCACGCACTTTGTCCGGACGGTTCTTCGTTTCCCACGCGAAAATCACAAACGACACCTCAATTGCAAAGTAGAGGAAGTCGGCCAGTGATGTGGTTTGGCCTCCTATAATCGAGATATCTCCGATAAAACGGCAGGGGTTCGACCCCTGGGCCGTTGATGGCGAGGTGGACCCCTTTAAGCATGCTCCGCACAAGAGCGAGACAAAATTCTCTTCGTGACAACAGGATGTAACTGTTCAGATCCAGGAGACGGAAAAATAGTTTAATTGTCCATTTCCAGGTTTGACGACAGATGCTATAACTGTTTGCCACAGTTTGCCCACAGCTCCACCTGAATAATTTTTCACACTTCTCTTGCCATGCTGGTGTGGTGGTCCCCAGGTTGCCGACCAAGATGATGGTTCTTCGTCGAAATCAACCGCCAGTGATGTGGTTTGAGCTTCTCTAATCGAGTATCTCCAATGAAACGGCAGGGGTTCGACCCCTGGGCCGTTGAGGGCGAAGTGGACCCCTTCCAGCATGTTCCGCACAAGAGCGAGACGAAATTCTCTGTGTGACAACAGGATGTAACTGTTCAGATCCAGGAGATGGAAAAATAGTTTATTTGTCCATTTCCAGGTTCGACGACAGATGCTATAACTGTTTGCCACAATTTGCCCACAGCTCCACCTGACTAATTATTCACACTCCTCTTGCCACGCTGGTGTGGTGGTCCCCAGGTTGCCGACGAAGATGATGGTTCTTCATCGACTTCAATTTCTGATTCACTTTCTTCCTCGCAACTCTCAGAGTCATCGGTACAACAGTCTGAATCGGTGTCATTTATAAGCGTCTTCCAAATACGAGGCCATGGTGGACAGCTAAACACAACGCTAGCCTTGAATGTTCTGACACTGCTCGGCTATATTTCAAAACAGACTACTTCTTGTTTGTCTATACGAGATAAAACAGTCAGTGTTTCTGCGAACGAGTACACATCGCCCACACTCGTTCATACCAAAAGGAACCTACGAACTGGAGAATGAACGAAGCGTAAACATCGGACCTTGTAGTAACACAAGCCATAGTTAGAGCATGATGTCACTAGCAGGCATTCAGACTGCAGAAATGTTTTGTGCAGGAACTGTATGCATTTTTGTGCACAGATGTTCGAAATTGAGGGGAAAATTTTTTTTTGGCATCAGTGTAAAAATTTTAGAGATTTTAAAATCGGTAAATTACAATAACTGATTCTATATTCTTTCTAGATAAAAGCAACGTTTATTTCGTTCATTTATCACAAAAATTGTAGAAATCACAGCATTTTGAGTAACATGATTACAATTTTTATTACTCTACAGTGGCGGGCATTTAAATTAATTCCGTCCCGCTACCACTACCGGAATTTAAATGGCCGTCTCTTAAAGGTTAACTAAAAAAGTGAGAATATCCAGGAAGACCATGAGGACCAAAAAAATTATTGATACTGTGGTCTTATAAAACCACAGCTGTACATTAATTGCAACCATGTGATCCAGTAATTTCTCTAAGTTATATTGTCAATGAGTTCATGATGACAACCTCCATTCAGAGCTGAGATTTTCTGCAGATGAAGCTTTGTTTCGTTTAAATGGCCATGTGAACATGGTGTGCTATGGCAAAGTATCAGCACACCAGATTCACCTGAACAGCAGCATTTTACTTGTGCATCTGGTGCACATGCACTTCCTGTTTCCTCTGCCATCATACTGTGACATGTAGGCCATTTCTAGGAAACGACTTGGCAAACATGTTTCCGCATAGATAAAATTCTTGGACACAAACCAGCTCATTGCTGTGGAAACAACGAGTGTGTTCATGGATACAAGAAGGAAAGTTGTAGACACTTGGAAAACAGCTTGTTTCTGTGGAATCCACAGGCGTGTCCATGGATACCAGTGAGCAACCAACATTTCCTAGGATACAACATTTTATAAATGGACAACCAGATAAGAACTGGAGCAGTCTCAGTAGAATGGAGAACTAAGGACTAAAGCATTTGTAAAGCAGAAGTCATAAAGTAACTCTGAACCAAGTCAGTCACAGTAGGAGGAGGACTAGACGAGAAGACAGTTGTAGTCCAGTCAGAATGGAGTGAATCTGAGGCAGGCATTGATTTTGAGCTGTTGTAATTGATTGTGATTAAGAGAGGTTGTAATAGAAGGCATTAATAAATCCAGTCAACCACTTCAGGACCTGTTATTATTGGTCATGGAACCATAAACACGTGACAATACATTCTGTGAGGTAGGGTTCTTTGAACCTCAAGCACTGCTTGTTGTGGCTTCATGCTTGGAGGTCAACCCCAAATTCTGGTCTGTTGTCGATCTCCTTTAAGCAACCTTGTCTATGTGTAGGCTGCCCTGACAATTTGGTTTTGTTCCATAATGATTGGAATTTTTCATTTTTGGACTGCAAGCAATATGTGAGCTGCTTTGAATTAATTTTGGGGTTTTGTTTATTTTTTGCTCAGGTTATTCTTTCATTTCATGTTTGATTTTATTGTTAATATAATTACCCCCTTTTACATGGATGTTTGTATACTTTGTTTGGCAAAATATGTGTGCACTTTCCAATTATTATAGAGAAAAACATTACACTTTTGATTTAGTGTCCGCCACATTTTACTGATAGTGCTCCTTGCATTTGATCGATGGGCAGTTGCATTGCTGATAAACACACATGCTCAGGCAGTGTGAATAAGGAGAGGTGAGAGTGCAAGGGGAATACAAAACCATATACTGGGGTGCAGGAATTGTACAGTTTATACATGAACTTCTATCCCTTGATGTAAAAGTTTGTATTCTGCACAGCCCTAGTGCAGGGAAGATTATAGGAGCTGTGTTCTATACAGATACAATTCTGTGAATAATGCTGCTGCTGCAAGTGGACCAATGATCTTTATCTGTGATGTTACTGTAATATCACTGTCACTGTAGCTGATCAAATAGGAAAGGTGGCAACTAATGCAGTGAATATGGATATTGTAAAGGCCTTGCCCTGGCAGAGTTGACAGATAGTCTTCTCAGAGATTTATGATGTTGGAATGGATGCAGAAGAAGTAAGCGTTGTTTTAACTATCCTAAAATTGTAGTTAGTGCATAGTATCAGAGGATCTGTGCAATATTAGTAATATAATAAAGAATAATTATGAGCAATATATATATATATAGTTGAGATATGCAAGAATATTTAAACATAACATTGTTAAATTATCATCCAAATATAAATACCATAAAGAAAAACGCACAAACTTTAATTGACGCAAGTAAGGAGGTTGATCTAGAAGTAAACAGCTCAGTCCAGAACCTTTTGTCTTCTCGTCTGCTTGTCCAAAAACATAAAAATTAGGATATACAAAACTATAATTTTGCCTCTGGTTCTGTATGGTTGTGAAACTTGGTCTCTGACATTAAGGGAGGAACATAGACTGAGGGTGTTTGAGAATGGTGTTGAGGAGAATATTTGGACTGAAGAGAGATGAAGTGACAGGAGGTTGGAGAAAACTACATAATGAGGAGCTTCACAACTTGTACTCTTCTCCAAGTATAATTAGAATGATCAAGTCAAAGAGGATGAGGTTGGTAGGGCATGTAGCACGAATGGGGGAGATAGGGAATGCACATAGGATATTGGTGAGAAAGCCAGAAAGAAAGAGACCACTGGGAAGACCAAGGCGTAGATGGGTGGACAATATTAAAATGGATCTTCGAGAGATAGGATGGGATGGTATGGATTGGATTGGTCTGTTCTTGTGAACACGGTAATAAACCTTCGGGTGCCATAAAATGTTGGGAAATTCTTGAGTAGTTGCAGAATTGGCAGCTCCTCAAGAAGGGCTCCATGAGTAAGTAAGTACTGTTATATTATCTTACTAATTGCAGCAAAGAAACAAAAACATACAGTATTAAGCCTTCAGAATTATAGCCTTTGGAGGGGTGGGGCAACTGATAATAGAAGTTTGTATTTGGAAGCAGAGATAATAAAGTTCCCCATCAGATGAAAGGTGGAAAATCATTATCTTTAAATTAGCAGTACTTTTATATTAAGTTGTACAACATAGTACAGTGAGGTTCAGAGGAAATAAGCATGTGCTCAGAACAGTATTTCCAATAAAAATAAGGAAGAGGAAGATATACTGCCATCAATGTAAGGACTTGAGATAAAAGAGTACAAGGATATTTAATGAATCAACTATTGACTGAAGATATTTTTCTTTGTAGTCGTCTCGTCTGAAGTACACAATGAAATTTTAGGGTATAAGTGAAAAGATATAATTTTATTGTAATCTGTTTATTACATCGCAGTTCTGTAACTTGGTTTATATTCTCAGGAATAATATGTAACATGATACATTTTCATGGCTGAAAGTTAAAGTGTTAAAATGCCCTAGTACTTTTGAAATAATTTTATACTCATACATGCTGAATAAAGTAACAAATTAATGTATGTGCGCCTAATGATATAAAGTATTAGAATTTGTTAAATATAACAACTAAAAGCAATAGAAATATATGATCTTTAGCTTGTGAATACTGAGGGCTTAACCAATTTAAATAACTTGAGGATGGAAGAAATTGGGCTTGAAATTCTAAAAAAAAATGCATACTTGGACTAGTTGGCAAGTCAGGTACTGTGAAACTGAACACTGAAAATGGTGGAATATGTTCATCCAAAATGTTGGTATACTTCTACCACACTACACAACAACACATCCTAGAAACTAATACTCTTCAAGTCTTGTAATATTAGCAAAATATGAGGATGTCTATTTATTTATTTAGTGATACAGCATGGTGTTGCAATCCTAGAAACATTCAAAATGGCCAACATCCCTATCACACACACCAAGCATAACATCATTCCCTGTTACTCATGTGGGGAGAAGTTTATGATATTTTTACTCTACTACATATTTATAAGAGCATTTATTTTGAAACTAAAATGTGTTATTTGTTTAAATGACATATGCCTTATAGCTTCTTTTTTAGTATGCAAAGGGGAGTGTTAAATATGAACACAGTATAACAGCATTTGTATTAGTAGTATGTTTGCATGTTATATAAAAATCATTTTTTTTCCCCATCATCAATTTACTTGAAAAATTCAATTTTCATAGTGTGACTCCATATCTGGCAGAAGTTCACCAGCATTTCAGAGGAACATACTCTCTAGAGCTTGACCGTGCCAAAGCCCAAACGGTTAGTCACTGGCTTCCCACTGCGGTGACCTGGGTTTGATCCCGGGTCTGGTCAAGTTGGATTTGTGGTGGACAAAGTGGCGCTGGGGCAGGTTTTCTCCAAGTACTTCAGTTTCCCCTGCCAGTCTTCATTCCACCAAGTTCTCCATCATCATAATCACCCAGAGCAAGCTACAATAGGCCAATCAGTGGCCACCGTGCCAAGTGAATCCAGTTGGACTACACCCCCCACTAAGCGAAATTTTACTCTCTAGAGCTTCAGGCTGCCCAGAAAATGGAGGCAGCACATTCCTCCAAAACCTCAGTAAACTTCTACTCAACTGTATGGCATCACATCACAGAAGAAAATAATATGCTTCACCACAATGAGAACCTCAAATCATATATCTATTTACTTGTTGTCAAGTCTGTTGATGAAGCCATTATCTCCTGCTACATATACCTGCCCTTGAGATCCGATGCAAATAGTATTGATACAGAAACCTACTTCACATGTATTGATACACTCCAGTGTCTCCAAATTCCACTGTTTTACCTTTCCATCATAGCCACCACTGAATAAGGTAGAATCTTCAAAACCACATAGTGCATTCAGAATCATCTCATGTGCCTGTAAATGTAAAGATGAACTTTTAGTTTAACATATAAAATTATTTCCCTTGTAATCAGTTTTATATTTAACTTTGAGCGTAGAACTGATATTGTTTTTGAGATTTGAAGAACATGATAACCTGTACAAAAGAGAAAATCAAAGTACCCAACTTTGAACCCAGAATTAACATAGGCTTTTAAAGTTCACTTAAGAAAATTACTGTAATATCTATTATGTCCCTGTGTATGTAATAATAATGTTATATTTTAGCGTCCTGTTGCACTGATTTTCATCCATTATATGTATACAGTGGCCGTCTTGTAGTGCACTCAATTTCACCTGTCACTTCACAACATGTTTCGGCAACATAGTGCCATCATCAGGTGTCCCAATTACGTCAATCTATTGCATTGCCTGCCCTCATATATTTTCACAACACCATTTAAAAAGTATTTAAAAAGTCCATATTTGTCAATTATGATAAATTTACACTCGCTAAAACTTGGTAAGATAATTCATCTTATTTGTCTTAATTAAAACTTGCATGTGGTTCGTTCACTACGGGGTCGTTTTTCTTATTTTCTGTGTAAACCGCGTCTTGTGATGTGTGTTCCCTTCTTAGCTGCGAGTGTGTGGGACACCTGATGATGGCACTATGTTGCCGAAACATGTTGTGAAGTGACAGGTGAAACTGAGTGCACTACAAGATGGCCACTGTATACATATAATGGATGTAATAATGCTGAAATATTTAAAACACTTACTACACATTTATCAAGCCAGGATAGCTCAGTTGGTATGACAACTGGCTATGGGCTAGATGACCAAGGGATCAGAGTTTGAGTCCTGGTAGGGTCAGGAATTTCTCATCCACGTCCTTCAGACTGGCTCTGGGGCTCACCCAACCTCTTGTAATGGGTACTGTGGGATCCTTCACCGGGGATAAAACGGCAAGCATGCATTCAAGCACATGCACACAAACTCTTTTTCTCTCTCTCTCTAACCAAGCCATAGAATTATGGTTGAATTTTCATCCTATTAATACTGAAGATTGTGTATCACTAGTTTATAAAATATCTTAAGATGCTCACCTCAGCTGCGTCTTGTGCTAAACTATCAACAATACATGGGAATATTACATTCCTTTAACTTTTCAGCTTCAACCTTTCCCCTGTTTGTGCACATTGTATATATTCTCTTTCTCTTATCTGTCACTGGAATCAAAGTAAATGCAAAATGGTTTCTGCCCATGGAACTTATTGGCACTGCTCCCCAAATTCTAGTCCCATGTTACTGACTAGCTCCTTTTCTGATACACTTACAGAGCCTGAAATTATGTTTATGAAATTGACCATGTTGATGCCAAGTCTCCAAATCAAAAATCATTCTCCTCTTCGTGTAAGGAAATAAAGTACGGTGTTCCTCAGGGTTCGGTTCTGGGACCTCTTTTGTTTTTAATGTTTATAAACGATTTGCCTAAAGCTGTTCATGAAGCGAAAGTTGTTTTATTTGCAGATGACACCAATATACTAATTATTGACAAAAATCTTAAATCTTTAAATGATAAAACTATAGTTTCTATGCATCAATTAGAAAATTGGTTCGCGGTAAATCATCTTATTATTAATATTGAAAAGACAAAAGCACTCTTTTTTCAGGGACGTGGTCCCCGTCAAATTGATAAACCGGAACTTTATTTGAATAATAAGAAAACACCATACACAGCTAATTTAAAATTTTTAGGTATATATATTACAGAGAATTTAAGTTGGTCCTCTCACATTCACCATTTAGTTCAAAAATTAAACAAAACCATCTATCTTATCAAATCCTTACGAGATTTGGTCAGTCTTCCAATTTTGAGAAGTGTGTATTTTGCGAAATTTGAATCTTTATTGAGATATGGTATTATTTTTTGGGGCTGTGGTCAAAAGGACATTCAAACTGTATTTAAAATCCAAAATAAATGTTTAAGACTGATCAAAAGAGTCAATAACAGGATATCGTGTAGAGAATTTTTTGGTGAATTTAAAATTTTAACCTTAACTTCACTGTATATCTTTGAGACGTTGTGTTTTTTAAGGAAAAATAGGATATATAACATCTCGTATTCAGATGTGCACGGTTATAACACAGTACATAAGCAGAATTTGTATGGCCAACCATGTAACACCTCACGTTGTAAAAGGAGTGTGATTAACATGGGAATAAGATTGTATAATAACTTGCCCTCTCAAATAAGAAGTATTCAAGGGTTCAAGGTTTTTAAGCGTCAATTAAAGGATTACTTGTTGTGCAAAGCTTTTTATTCCCTTCAAGAATATTTTTACAAGAATTAGCTTAATAATTGAACAAAGATACTTAGGTAATTTATTTTAGCTATTGCATGTAATTTATAGTTTAGCTTTTGTTGCCTTATTATACTCATCCACTGTTTTATCATATTTAAAGGATTTATTATGTTATTTTTCTATGGGTTTTTATATTATTAGTCATTTGATGTGATGTTTAATCTCATATATTTTTTTAAAAAACTGACTTGTCCAATTGTACATAATGTAACAGTTATGGATGTTAAATAAATAAATAAATCAATCAATCAATATAAATGTAAAATGTGGGTACTTAAGAGGATAAGGCAATATAACATACAGCTATTCTACTGGCTTCAGCTTTATTAGTATCTGCTTTGCCAATTTTTCTGAAAGACCAGCCTATTCTAATTGTTAGGTATATTAAGAAGGTGAAAAATGTTTTCAGAGAGGAGGTATGTTAAAAAGCTAATTTCCAGCACTGTTTAACACTACCAGACTGAAACGATCTGCCTAAGGGAGAGATCAAAAATTTTTGTTACTTCATAATCTAAACCACCTGCCTGTATCTGACCAAGTTCTTTGAAGCTGCTTGCTTGGCTATTTTCATGAACACAGATATTATTGCCAGATCGAGTTGCAAAACATAACTTATTTCCAACAATACATAGTGGACTTCTTCCTTCCAGAGTCTTTCGCATTATGTAATGCCCCCTATCACCTATAAGAAACAAGCAACAGTGAATTTATACAGACTATTCAATTATTTAACTGTAATAAGAGACACATACAACATCTTACTTACTTACTTACTTACTTACTTACTCATGCATGGAGCTGAGCCCTTCTTGAGGAGCCGCCAATTCTGCAGCTACTCAAGAATTTCCCAGCATTTTACGGAACCTGAAGGTTCATTACCGTGTTCACAAGAGCCCTCCACTGGTCCCTATCCTGAGCCAGATCTATCCAGTCCCTACCATCCCATCCTATCTCTCTAAGATCTAAGATCCAATATTGTCCATCCACCTACACCTTGGTCATCCCTGTGGTCTCTTTCCTTCCGGTTTTCCCACCAATATCACATACAACATCTACAGTTTAATACCAGGCTCACTGAATGAAAATTTAATTAACAGCAAAGATTATTTTGGGCAGCATATATTAAAAAAGAACAGAATAAATAGTTAGATTCTAAAGGATTGTATACACCACTCAGAATTACTGGATTTTGTACTGTCCACCAACCAGTATTTTAAAGAACTAAAGAATGCAGCATTGTGGAAACTGGATTTATTTCAGGTCTCAGGTAAGAGAGGATATAGATTTCTATTTCATCTCTTAGAAAATGCTGACCTCAATAAGTGGGCAACTGGTGTTACTAGAACTGCAGCTATATAAATACATGAGACCAGGCTTTGTTGAAGGAAGATAACAGGAACATTATACAATAAAAATTGTGATAAAGCATGCACCAACCTAAAACTAAGGCAAAGGGAGGTGAAAATTTTATGTAACAAACCAATGGACACCAATGCATAGGATTCACTGGTGAATTTTGCGAAACCATTTTGTGCTTATTGATAGCACCATTTGTGGAGTTGAAACTGAACACTCAGGACTAAAACCTTATAGAAACTCATGAAGAATCTGCCGCAACATGCTGATCTTCTCTGTGACTTTCTAACAACATTGCTGATAAGTGGGACCCAGATGAGAGAAATGTCCAAACTGGGTTGGCTGATTAGTTTTGTTAAGCGTGCCATATGGTTCAATTCCTTGTATTTCCTATACTTGTTGCTACTTCCAGTTTCCAAAATCATAGCTTCATACCAGCCTACCCTAAGACCCTCTTCATAGGCATGTTTGGTTAATTTTTGTTTCTTTGTAGAAGACCATCTTTGAGACCGTTTCTGTGTTCACAGAGCTGCACAGCTAGAGGTCTGCCTGTTTCACCAGTGTAGCTTCTGCCACGTTCACAGGGAATGCTGTCTGTTGCAGATCTATTTCCAACCTGGTTTTCATGAGTGAATTCCTAAGGGTGTGTTTAGTTTTGAAGATCATCCTAATGTTAATTAATTTCCTATTCTGAAAAAGCTAAATAGTTCCGTTCAGTGTGACTGGTTAACCAGTCTTAACCAGTCACATAATATTAGTGTGATGGACCAGAATGAAACAAATCAAATTCCCTATTCATTTGAACTTCTCAGGAATACCCTTCACATATGGGCTATACACAGAATCCAGAGGATGTTCCTTGTATTCAGATGACTATTACCCTTGGAATTAATAACCGAGTCACTGAAACCTTGGGGATAACCACTGAGCTGAATATCAAGGCTCAGGCTACTCAGGCTAAGCAGATCTTGTTGTTTTTGGCATATGGTTGAAGCTCTATTGTGAAGACCCTGAATGAAACCTCTTTCCACGGCTGGTGGATGGTTAGATTTTAAGTTGAGATATTGGTCACTGGGGTTGGGTTTTCTGTAGACATTGGTGGCTGGAGTATTCCTTTTCTTGACAATCAGAATAACCAGGAAAAGTAGGGCAACCTCTGACTATTTCCATAATGAACTGGGTGGAAGTTCTAAAACTATTGAGGTAGCTGAGGAAATTCTGTAATAGCTCTGGGCCATGAGGCCAGACCACAAATTTATCGTTAACATACTGGAGCCACAGCGATGGTTTGTGTTGTGCCGAGCCAAGAGCCAATTTCTCAGAATATTCCATATAGATGTTACTGGTGATGGATGATACAGAACTACCCATTGCCATGCCACCTTTCTGTTAGAAGAACTTATTGCCCCTCTGAAAATATGTGGTTCTCAGACAAATTTCCTGCAGTTCCTTGACGGCCTCGACCTGCAAGACAGAACATTCACAGAGTGGTTATAGAGTTTCCCCAGTCACAATAGTTTAGGACCTTCCATCCAGTTCACTATAGAGATAGAGTCACAGAGTGCCAATGGAAAGTCCAAAACCCTAGTAATTCTGAGAATAAATAGGACTTAATTTTAATCACCAGAAACCAAAATATCGACCGGACCAGAAACAGATCATGATTTGGGTGGGTGAAGGTTTACTCTGGCTGCAAAACACCTATGTGATTATGTATTATTATGCACAATATGGAACATTTGGAGTTTCTGATTGCATTTGGTCTCCACTGACACTAGTTATTGCAGGCATGCCCATGATAACAGTACATCATAAGACAAATAGAAAAAAATGTTGAAGAAAATGTCACTAATTTTATTTATTCTATCCTAGTTCTTTCTGTATGTACATGTTTAGTCACTTAGAGTAAAGGTTCCATACAAACTGATAGAAGTGGTAACATCACACATCACAAGCTATTTGTATTTTCTGAGATTTCATCAATTTCAGTGGAGCACATACATGATGATACATATTTCTGTATCAGTTTTTAGATATGGTGGTATTACATCCTTGACAGGATAATGGTACATGTATCACAACCATCTGACACTGAAACGCATCTCTCAAAATATCCCCACACATCTTACAATCTATATCGTGATACTGTATTGTAATACATTTATCATGACTTCTATTGAGTGTTGCATGGATGGGGGGGCTTTAAATTAGATTAAGTAATAATGCATTTAAATTAAGTGACTACAGCTTATGAACAGTTCATGGATAACTACCTGTATACATTTAATTTATGTGTCATAACCCATATAGAGCGTTTCTCATAATATGTGACAAGGCCAATAGTGAATGAGTCATCGGCAGACTGACGAAATATTCTCAGTGTATTTTAACAAATGTGTTGTGGAGAAAAGCACAGAGAAAAGCTTCATAATTTGTGCTGATCAGCAAGTATTACTAGAATGATCAAGTCGAGAAGGATGAGAGGAACGGGGCATGTCACATGCCGGGGACCAAAGAGGAGGGCATACAAAGTTTTGGGAGGAAAACCTGAAGGAAAGAGCCTATTAGGAAGACCTAGATGTTGAAGAAAGTATAATATTAAAATGTATACTATAGAGAAATAAGATGGGAGCTGTGGACTAGATTCATCTGGCTCAGGACAGGGATTGGTGGCAGACTTGTGATTGTGGTAATGAATTTTTGGGTTCGCAAAATACTGGAAATTTCTTGGGTAGCTTAGCAATTATCACCTTATCAGAGAGGCCTCAGCTCCATGAAATTAGGCAGTTTGTTAGTTATGTTCACATCATACACCACAGCCAGTGACTGGCAAAGTTCTGAGGAATGTTTCGATGTTTCAGTGCATGTTTGTCATCACCAGTATATTGAAAACAGAATCTAGTAACTTTCTAATGATGTAACAGTCTACATCACTGAATGTTGACTCACCCTTGCTTGCATAGTAGAATATGGGTTTCAACACTGTGATGTATTGAAAGAAATTTGGAATGCTGTGCAAGAATTTGATGGTTCCTTCTAGATTAAAGATGGAGGCAGCAGGTTCTTCTGAAACATTGGACATCCAATACAAAAGTATGCTGCAGAAGACTCAGTACTGTCTATGAATAAAAATACCCACCAGGCATGAGCTCGTTGATGCAAACATCTCTGTCTCTCACGGTATACATGAGGTTGTCAGCAACTGAGAAGTCTCGTATTTCTTCAACCATACTGAATAGGCACTGCAGTTTGTCATTTTTCCAAACAGAAAGCTGGAATAAAAATATTGTAACATATATATTGGCATGATCAACCTCCTCCAAATATTTTACATCCAAGAATTTCAGTCATAGTCAAACAGAAATACTGACAATAGGAAGGCTGAAATATATGTAACATACATGTATATTGAAATTACAGCGATATTGAATTTTTGTTACATATCATAGACTATGTCGTCAGGAAGGCTGAAGAAAACCAGGAAAAATTGAAATGAGTAGGACACATCACCTTCTGGTCTATACAAACGACGTTAGTTTATAGGATGGAAACATGAATATTTCAATAACACACAGAAACTCTTAGACATTAGTAAGGAGGTAGGTTTACAACGAATTGCAGAGAAAGTAAGTATTTGTTCATGTCTTATTATAAGAATGCAGGAGCAAATCAAAATAGTTACAAATCTGATTTGTTTCATTCTGGTCCGTCACACTAACAATCACAAAGACAAAAACAACACCGTCCAGTGTGACTATTTAAGTTTTATCACTTGAAAACTCATCACCCTTACATGTTTCGATCCCTATGGTTCATCCTCAGAGGGCATCGATCCTTTTTCCAGAAACTACTATTACAGTAGGTGTTAAATTATATACATACACATATAATGTCTGAAATACGCAATGTACACAATGTTCAACATTGTGTACTGTGACTGTGAAAAAGTTGAACATTGTGTACATTGTGTATTTCAGACATTATATGTGTATGTATATAATTTAACACCTATTGTAATAGTAGTTTCCGGAAAAAGTATTGTTGCCCTCTGTGGATGATCTGTATGGATCGAAACATGTAAGGGTGATGAGTTTTCAAGTGATAAAACTTAAATAGTCACACTGGACGGTGTTGTTTTTGTCTTTGTGGTAGTTACAAATACTTAAAATATGTGGTAAAGTGGAAATATTTGGAAATGTCAGTAACAAACCAAAATTTTATTCATCAAGAAATAAAAAGTTTACATTCAGGAAATGCTTGCATTGGGGATTCTTTTATCTTCCCATCTTCTATTAAAACATATAGATAAAATTATATAAAATTGTANCTACATGCCCCTATCCCCTGATTTGGTCATCCCAGTATCTGGCAATGAGTAAAAATTGTGAAGCTCTTCATTATGCAGTCTTCTTTAACCTCTTGTCACTTCTATCATAGCCCAACTATTATTATAATAATAGTTGGGCTATGATAGAAGTGACAAGAGGTTAAAGAAGACTGCATAATGAAGAGCTTCACAATTTTTACTCATTGCCAGATACTGGGATGACCAAATCAGGGGATAGGGGCATGTAGCATGCAGGGGAGAGAAGATAAATTCTTATAACTGGTAGGAAAATAAGAAGAAAAGTAACTGAGCAAAAAAAGCTATCAGCTACTTTATTTCTCTTATTTGGTCGGTCTTGGCTTTGCTGTTTATTCTCTGTGACATTCTTGACATCCAATACTAATGTTAGCTAAACATATGAAAACAGGGGTCTTATTTTTTATATGCTGAACTCAGAAAAGTCATTAATTATTAAAAGAAATACAACTTAGAAAGGAATTATTAAAAATAAATAGTAAGGAATGCCATCTTCATTGATGTGGCACCATGTAGACCTTCCATGAACCAACGTGTCGGAGGAATGTACCACCTCCATCTTCAGGGTAGCCACCTGCTCATGCTGGATCCTTGCTTGCAGATTTTTCTACCTTGAAGATGGAGGTGATGCGTTCTGCTGAAGTATTAGTTCCCACAAGATCTACAAAGTGATACATCCCAGAAGATGACATTCTTCATAATCACTGCTGTGAAAACCTAAAATCCTACACAGAAATAACAAAGTTTATAGGTTCTTTATAATAGAGGTTGATGGAATTCATGCCAGTTTAGGTTATAATATCATTGATATTCAGCAACTTATGGGCATTGCAACTCTAATTATGGAAATGTCAGGAAAGACTATGTCTCCAATTGATCCTACACATTGCACTAAAAAAGCAATTTTAAGCACAGGAAATAATGATGTTGTACATATTAGAGATGATGTTCTTTAGGGTCTTAATGGAGAAATTATAATAACATAGACTCCATTCCACATATATATATAGGCCTACATTTCCCAGAAAAATTCACTTCTTAGTGGGATCTACTGTCAAGGTTACAAATGGCATCAGACACACCTATACACCACAAATGATAGCATTATTTATGTAGGATTTGAGTATTATTATTTTGCTGAAAATGCTTGAACTTAACAAGAGGCATACATTAATAGAGGTGGTCTAAATATGTTGTATTTTAGCGTCCTGTTGCACTGATTCATATTCATAATGTGTATGTATTAACAGTCTTCAAGTGCCTACAATCCCATTTACCACTTCTACACTACATGTTTTAGCAGTATGCTGCCATCTTCAGGTGTATCGATCCATCAACTATTTCACTGCTTGCCTTTATATGTCCATTTACAAATAATATTAAATTTGTATACGTCCTTATATAATAATAAAGTTTATGTATTTAAAACTTGTTGAAACCTATTATCTCATACGTTATATTTTAAATTCGTGTGTATTATTGATCATCCACATGGGGGTCATTCTTCTTATGTTTCTAATGTTGTGTGTATATTATGTCTTATGATGTGTTCTACTCTTGTGGCTGCGTTTGGTGTATTGTTGGATGTCCAACTTGGTCAATTCTGGGTGTTTTGCTATTATAATCATGAAGTAAGTTGACTGTAAATAATTGTAACAACCAACTGTGTATTTATATTGTAACATGTGTAGCCACTGAAGACGCCGTTCAGATTGTTAATTGGTTTATTTAACAACCTACAAGTCTCAGCTACAATTAATTACAACAATGTTACGGGTTTCCACACTTTACAAATCCTACACACAATTCTCTTCACACTGTCCTCAGTAGTCGACACGTATTAATTACGATACGGGAGCTATACAAGTCTCTCCAGATTACACACTCCCAATTACACATGCATCTGGTTCTTCTTTCCGCGACTGCTGTTATACTCCAACTGTCTTCGGCAGCTGCTACACTGAGAACTCACTCCTTACTGCTCACTGCTGGCTAGATTCCAACTCAACTTGTAGGCTGCTGTCTTGAGAACTGTCTTTGGTGGCTGTGTAGTTCCCTTATAAGCCCTCAGCTGGACAACGGGAAACACCTTGCTTCCTTGTTGCCTTGTCGTCGTGTTTGCTGATAGCCTAGCAACGCTGTTGGGAGTTGTTTATGGCTACGTAGCAACTGCGCCGTCCCGTGTTATGTATGGCTGTTTACTCGCTTTGCATAGCAACCAGTGTGCTTGGACTCAGCTCACGTCACCGCTGGCGGGGGGGGGGGGTCCTCCATAGCGCAGCATGTCACACTGCTCCCTCCTTAAGGCTGTTCGTCCCGAATAGCCTAACGGTGCACCCCCGTTCCTTTGCTTTGGAGGCTGTTCTTGCAGCATCTTCTTTTTGCCCTGCTACTGTTTCTCTTCTCCCCGTTGCTCTGCTCTCCAACCGTTACAATATTTATGTTAATCTTAAGTGAATATAACATGGTGCACATCCTTGGCTTATTCCTATAAAGGATTCATTAAATGTAAATAAATATTAAGTCTAATTACTGCTCTAGAAAATTCTCATAATTGACATAATTATTCTGATCTGTATCATTTAATATTCTTATAATATGTATGTAGATAGATATAAAAATATGTATTTATATTTGTATTGGTATTAAGTATTAAGTATTGCATTTTGCAATGTCATTTTGTTGACGAATTCAATATCCAGTCCGGTTTCCGGACAATGGATCTGTGAAATTATGTATCTATGTATGTATGTATGTATGTATGTAAGTATTGTATTCATCTTATGACATGTTCTACATCCTTGGCTTTGTACTGTGAAGGATGTACAAGCTGTATATAAATACTATTTTATTCTATTCTGAAAGAACCATTAACTTGAGCATAATTAATTACCTAATTCTTAACTAATACAGGTGCCATACCTAAGGAAATATAATTGACACTAGTTTATAAATTATTACTAACTATGAACAGGTTGCTTGGTAGGAACAGATATACTAAAGACTGATTTCTGTTAGTATGGCAAACTAAGAAGGTTCACACAATTGCTTTTTCTGTGTACTTCTTGTGATATTAAAATGTTTCATACCAAATCTGTAAATAATCCAGTCTCTCATCATACCAAATTTTTTATGATTAGAAACAACAGTTGAACAGTTATCAGATTATGAAAATTTGAAGAAACTATCATGTTTATGGGGCACATGGAAGTGCAATTGGTTGAAGCACTATGCTACAAGCTGGAAAGTTGCGGGTTCTATTCCTGATGAGGTCACTGGATTTTTGTTTGACCTAATTCTTCTAGCTGCAATATGGCCCTGTGGCCAACTCAGTCATTGACAGAAATGAGTACCAGGAATCTTCCGGGGGGCAAAGGGTGGCTGGCATGTAAGGCTGATAGCCTCACTGTTGTCTATGAACCAAATGTCTAAAAAATGTGGGGGTCTTGACATCTCACAACCTTATGGGCCTCCACAGCCTGTTATAGGTATAGCTTCACCTTTTATCATGTTCATTTCAAGTCTGCATAAAAATTATTTTAACAGAGGCATATTTTGAAGGTCTCTATTTTTCGGGCTCTATGCTGAACAGCCCTAAAGTTGCTCCATCCTGAATCTTCACATGACTGCCATTTTGGTATCAATGGTAAGAATTAAAAAATATATATACTGTATATAGCTTTGGACTGATATCGAATGATATTGTCTTTGCAATAGGGGAAGAGCAAGTTTTAAGATTGCCAGATAGTAAACGAATAGAACAAGAATGTGATTTAATATTTTTGAACAATCAGTAATCCAACACTGAAAATAAGAGCAGATATTTATAAATGGAATAATTATATTCACTTAGGAAAAAATGAGTAGTACATGTTTGAAATTATACAGAATATTGGTTAAATCAATGACATGACATGGGCATGGGGGAGGAAAGAGAAAAACTCAAACACAAAAAATTATATTAGATGTGTTAGAAGTAGGAATTTTAAGTCCTTTCATGGGGAGATGGGGGATGCCGAAAAATGAACTCACTTCAAGATTGCTAACGTAGCATAACAGATTGATACACACAGGAACAGCTGGAAAGATGTTGCAAGTAGAATGTTTGAAAACAACTGGCTGAAGATAGGATGAAATATAAACCTATACTATGAACAAAGAGCAAAGGGAAGACTACAGATTTGAGAATTATGTAGGCATCACTTTACATAAACACTTACAATGCCTTTGTCATTTCCTGAATACAGTGTTCCATCAATCACATAAAGACGTAAGATTTCCTCATCAGATGACTGAAATAAGGTTTTCTTGTGTTTTAATCCATCAAGACTCCAGGCCTGAAGTGTTCCATCATTAGAGCAGGAATATAATGTATCTTTGTGTGCAGCAATATGATAAATTGCTGATTCATGTGCTTGAAATTCAGCTTCAAGTTCTAGGTTAGGATGCCACACCTGGAAACATTAAAAAACAGAAATAAATACTACACACATTTATCTGCCAGCAGACAGACATTTTAGATCACAGGTCAACAGCATTTTATTAACAATAGACAGAATCATTATAGGCTACATACACAATCGAGTTGTGTGTAGAAGTGTGTGAACATCAAATACAGCTTTCATAGAAAGATTTTAATTTTCTCATCTATATGAGAAAATGATGACTTCCTTTATATTTCCATTTTTTGTGAAAAGTGTGGTGTACACAAATATTACACACACAGCATCTAAAATTTTGTGTATCATCTTGATTTTAGAACTTTGAAGCCACCTCCTTGGAAGTATTTGTATTTGTATTTATTGTAAGTTAAGAGATCCAAAGATGGATATAGAACATGTCATAAAAATAATATACAGTATAGTATACAGCCCGTAAGGCTGAATATGAAATATGTCACACATTACAAATTCATGATGACTACACATCATATGTCCTTGGTCCAGTACTGAATAATCATTTCTTCATGTATGATGTTAAATAAAAGGTGTCACAATGAACCCTTTTTTTTTTGCCATGGTATGCATTAATGGAAAATAATGTCTTAACAACCGCAACTTCAATTGTTACATCACACACGGGTACTCCAAAGTATATGTACGTTTTTTTACTTAACAGTTATTCTGAGATGAGAAGTTATTAATGAAGTTTTTAATTATGTAAGAATGGAATTTAAGAAAAGTGGGCATTTTAACAGTTCAACAGAAGAGATCCCATATGTCAAGATCCACCCTTAAAAAAGAGGACATGTATGGGAAAAAGAGAGCACCTGGTCACCCTAGCTTCCATCTTCAGGGTTAAGATTAAGTGTGTGAGAGTGTGGTAAAATACTTGGCCATTAGGCCTGGTGTACGCTCTCCTTCTCATGTGATGGACACTATCGTGATCAGGGCACATGTCTGCTTTGCAGGGCCTCCTTCCTCTTCTGCTTCATTCCCCTCACACCCTGCCTCAGTTCTGGTCAGTGTCTTATCTGTTCTTCCACTGATGTTAGGTCATTCCTTCCCAGCTTTTTCCTTTCATCTCCTTCCATGATCAGCCTCAGCCCCAGTCAGTGTCCTGTTTGTCCTTAACCCACACCACCATTTCTCTTCTCTTCTGCTTTCTACCCAGACAGTTTTTGTCTGTTAAGGCCCTTTATTCATCCACTCTTCTTCCTGCCCTCTTGTTAGTTCATTCAGGGCTCATACTCCAACCTACAGCTTTACAATTTTTGTCATACACAACTTACTCTTCTTGCTTGCTTGCTTGGTGTTCCTGTTGACTCTGAAGATGGGGGCAGTACAATCCTCCAAAACACTGGTAATCTTCTAACAGCCTACATGGAACCATAGCACAGAGGATAATACTCTTCAAATCATATGATGTGTGGGAACATCCCACATTATCACGCATTTCTGCAACGCTCGCTCTTCATATCGCTTTTCACCATCACGCGCGCTAACCAACCAGATTGCTTCAGACGTTCATATTTATACTGGGATCGCTGCTAGCACGCATCTACGTCATTACGCGCGCTAGCCAATCAATTCTTCCTCCTCACTTTCGAGTTTGGCTCCGCCCCACCGAGCAGAGTATAAAAAGGGGCGGTTCCAACGCCGAGTCATTCAGTTCGACTGCAGTCTACGATCAAGCCACACAGCAAGCAACTTCAGCCAGCAGGCTTCGTCGCCAGCGCTCGGTCTTCGGAGGCATCGGCAGGCTGCGCCAGGCACGACCGCCTCGGCCCTCCGGCTCTCTCACACCCGACTCACTGGGGCACCGCGCCCGGACTCGCCGGTGGTCATGTTATGGTCTGACTCACTGGGCATCTGGCGTAGCCACTGCCTCATGGCTCCTACGACCGCGCTCAACGACTAGCCTTTTCAACAGCCATTCACCATAACTAGCCTTTCTCCCTACCGGCGCGTGCCGCCCTACCTCACCGGTCAAGCATCTCAGCCACCACGGTCCTTTTCAGGGCCAACAAACTGTTCCGAAGAAGTGGGTTGTCATAGGAGTAATGACAAGACTACACACATTGACAAGAGCCCCACAGATGTTTGGGTAGCCTCCAATTGCATTACATTTATATAAGATTTTGTGCAAATCAGTGATTTGGTTCAGAATTTGAAAGGGGGGCCAAAGAGACAGCATATTAGTAGTGATCTCATAAGCCTTCTTTTATCCCTAAGGAAAGGAATCTAGGACAATAGTATGTGTGTTGCTGAGGAAAGAGTTGAAAAACTAAAGCTTTGATCTGTCAATCATTTTTCCTTCCCTAGCTCTGCTAACATTACAACTGTCAAAGAAGAATTAATGCAGCTATGTATGAAGAAAAAAAAACAGATGTGTGAAAATAGAATACCATTTATTTGATGTGAGAGAATTTTTATGATTTATTTGGACCTGACAACATTGTTATCAGCCAATCTGCCTTGTATACCATAGTTGTCAATAACTTTATGTATGATTTGAAAACAAGTCTTGCTTATAAATATAGCACTTTTTTTTATTGCTAGTGGGGTGGGAGTAAGTCCCTTGTACTGCAGCCACTTCTGGCCTATTGTACAAGGCCCAGATGATAGGTGAGGGAGATTGTGGAGCAGTTGGTGGAATGAAGATTGGCAGGGGAAACCGAAGTCCTCGGAGAAAACCTGCCCCAGTGCCACTTTGTCCACCACAAATCCCACTTGACCAGACCCGGGATCGAACCTGGGCCGCCGCGGTGGGAAGCCAGCGACTAACTGCTTGAGCTATGGCGTGGCCAATATAGCACATTGATAAAACTTATTTTCATAGCAATATTTTCATTTGGCTAGAAACTCACACTTTTTTGCACATATGTACAAGTCATTTTGAAGAGTAATTCCCTGTTTTGTTTCCCTTATAAAATACATAATGTAAATGGGAAGCAGATTTTAGAACACTGTATTCTATTTTATTCCACTTCATGCAACTTCCTCACGTTTCTGTTCACCTGAATTTCGAACATCTTTACGATTCTCTGACACTGTGTGCTGCTGTCTGAAGGAAGTCTCATGGATCTTGTGGAAAACTGCATTGCTTTCATTGTTATTGTATGCCTGTTTCTTTCCCCATCTCTATATGCAGAGATCACATGGCTTCAGGTTGGGACATTTCACTGGCCATTCTGTCTGACCTTGTTAACTCAGTCGTCAATCAGGGAAATTTTGTCTAACTATTGTTTGACAGGGTTGCTCCATTTTAGGTAAAACTCTGTTCTGTGCATTCTCCAATTTTGATACAGGCATTTGTTTTTCTAACATTTCAAGGTAACAAACATCACCCATCGTGTTCCATAGGAGTTATGACTACAGGTACAGAGTACCACTGAAGCCACACAATGTTGCAATTTTAATATAGTCTTCAGCTTTTTCAGCTTTAATGGTTGCATTGCTTTTTTTTCAGCCCAGTAAGTTGTATAATGTTAGTAATAAGCCACTGACAAGGAAGGCTGTCTCATCAGGCTACTATATGTTCTGCAGTGAATTTAGCCAGCCTTCCAACAACCCTAGCATTATGTAGGATATGAGGTCTCACAGCAGTGGTTATGAAGAGTTCTGTCTTCTGGGATATGAGGCCATGTGGTCCTTTTAAAGAGAGCTCATTTTTTAGAAGAGCACAATGCCTCCATCTTCAGTGCCAAAGAATAAGACAAGCAAGAAACCAGCGTGAAAGCATGTGACAAGCAGAATTCTGGCTTATTCTTTGACCCTGAAGATGGAGGTAACATGCTCCTCTGAAATATCAGTTGACTTTCAAAGGACTACATGGCGTTATATCCAAGAAGACAGAACTCTTCAATTCCAGCATATTCTGTGTAATGTTGCTGTAGATAGAATGGTTCCCACAGAGTATGGGCTACTTCCTCACTTTGCAATATATGTCCAAAAATTCTGGAATAAAAGTACCCTGGCAAGTAGCTTTATGGAAGATGCCCAACAGAATGGCTGGTAAGAAACCCCAACCTGATACCATACAATTTCTAATTATGGGGCTAGGTACAGGCATGTCAAACTCAAATTGTACAGAGGGCCACCTCAGCCCTATAAATAATAGTCCAGGGCCGCACTTCAAAATAGAAATATACATTAGATTTTGATACAAGGAAATTTAATTCTATTTATTATTTAGGAATAATTTCAATATAATTACCTAAAGTGGAACACTTATATTTTGCCCACAAATCAAACATGTAATTTTACCTTCTATTTCACAACAGAAATAAGCGATTTCCCATTTTTCTTGGAAAACACGGCGCTCACTTTCAATAGTTCTTGTTTTGCTACTTGAATTTTTTGAAAGCGACATTGTCCTTTAAAAGTTACTGTACATATACAAGAAAACTCGTAGTTGATAATTTAATGTTTAATCATAACCTTTATACGTTCATCACAACGTAACATCAGCACCTGTCGCTGTGTGAAAATGAACTGAATGACAATGTACAAGAGACTACCGGACTAGTAGGAAGGTGTATCTTGTCTCAATGGTCATAAAAGTGAAAGTTTGCTGGGAGCCCATTAGACAATGGCTGGGGGTTGCAAGCTAGTTTTGAACGTAGAAATCCCTTGCACTTGTCTGTCAGTTGCCACCCTCCTTGCATTCTTACTACGCCTCCAAAAGGGATTATTGGAAATACTTGGGGTGGTGAGGCTGTGTGGATTTTAGTGCATTAACTTCTGAAATACAATAGTTTGTCCTTCACGAACTTTACAAACCGTTAGTTGGACAAACCCTTCTGCAGTTCTCAGAATCACTTTTCCTGCAGCCTGCTAATTTATATCTGTGTGAGACTTCTTGTCTTCTGGTCTGTTGGAAAATTGTCTTTACAAAAAATATTTCTACTAAAATTTTAATATTGAATTTAATATCAATTAGCTATAAAAGTTGAGGGGCCGCACTTTGTGGCTATGGGGGCCTCATGTTTGACACGGCTGGGCTAGGAAAACACATTTTTACAGGAACAAACACATTTTGGATGAACAGAACAATAAATTGACACAATTTTCCAGTAAGTTCCATGAGACTGCCTTCAGAAAGTGGCACAAGTTGTTAGAGTTTGACCGAATAAATGTGTTGAAAATGCAGGTGGGCATGTGGTGGTGTGAGGAATGCCACAAGAAACAACATAGATAAAGTACAGTATTCTTAAAATAATTTCACATTTGCACTGTTTTGTTTCTTATAACCGAAACAAAGTAGAATGTTACTTTTCAAATACCCTGTAAATTTGTCATTGGAGTGAGATGAAGTGTGGAGTTGTATTTCGATCCTTACTCTGGCAATTGAGTCACCCTTCTTTTCCCATACTGTGTGCATGTATATATGAAAGGCAATACTTATGAAAGGCAATACTTATGGCATAATCTGGATATAGAGACAGCTAAAATCTTATATTTAGCTTATAGGTTACTTTTTAATGATGAAAGTAAATGGTGAGTCCACTAGAATTGTTGTGGCATGATCATATTAATTCTTGCATTAGTGGTGGTGATAAAATTCAGCAGGGTCTGAATGCAGACACACGTAGAGTACTATGTGTATAAAACCACGAGTCTTATACAAAAATGTGGAACCCCTAAAATTCTGAGCCTCAGAGAATATAAATTTCCATATATTGTGGCATGAGTTTAAATGACTTGAGTTTTACTAAGAGAATGACAAACACTTCAGAAGCACATGGTTTAAATAAACATATTTTCAAAGTAAACATCTAGCAATACTTTGGGGCTTATAATAAATTCTGAAATGTGTATTTTAGCTCTTGGAGCAGATTCCAAAAAATCTGCCCCTTCCTCTAGTTTATAAAACAAAGGTAAGGCAACACAGAAACAATGCTTTTATTTGAAAATGACACTATTAAACTTTTATACTTCAGGGTATAAATTGCAAGTTAAACAGCAGTTGTGGTTGGTTTAAGGAAGTTCATTGCTTCATTATGTACCTCATGCTGTGTTTGTGGCAGCCAACTAACTTCATTCTAATTCTGTCACTGCATGTATGTCTAGTCACTGTATGGCAGAAGACTGTTGTCATCTCTGCAATGGAGGTTAGTTGTATGAAGAATACATTTGTCTATCATCTTCATGTTTTGTGGTCTATTCTGGTAAAGGCTGTAGTTCATCTGGCTTTATCTTTCTATTGTCCCTTTTAATACATTAGTAATGAACATAAACAGTTGGTCAAATTTAATGATCACTACAGAACACCTCATAACTTTGTAAAATATTCATGCTCAAATTGTACACAAATCATTAATATTTTACCTTTATTTTCCCATCTACAGCAGCACTGTAGAGTTTGTCATTATGGATTAGTAGTGCATAAATTTCACTTAAATGTTTGTCTTGATTACTTGGTGAAGCTGTAATTACCAGAGGCATTATTTATTCAATAAATGTATGTTGCCTGTTTCACACTGTATAATTGTATGTTGCTGCACAAAGTGATGTTGTATGATCCCAGTGAGAGACTACATCCGTAAGGGTGGTAACTTAAAATAGATGGTTATTGGCAGAACATCAGAATGCATACACTCTTGGAAGCACTGATCAACTATTTGGAGGCATGTTCAAATTATCAGTTACTCTCAATATAGTGCTACATTCATTTACTTAAATTTTCATTAAACAGTGCACAATAAATAAATCTAAGTAATGTAAAATATATACAGCAGTTCGCCAATGGAACTGAATTCTTAGGAATATTTAAAATTAACTGGCTCATTAGATGTTCTTATTTTTGAAAAAGAATGTATGGTATTTTTACCGTCCTTGCTTGTACCTTCCTTTGTCACCGCTGCGCTGCTGGTCGTTGTGCTCGCAGCTAGGTCGGTCTTTACCTGGCTCCACCGCTTTTCCCATTCCACCACTTCTCTTCACTATGGGAATGGGTGTCAGGTTCAGGGCTCGACCTGGATTGTTTATGGGCGCCAGCAACTGTGGGTACAGATGCGAAGAGAAGGGAAAAGATGGATGGGGGGAAGCTGATGGTGATCGGGCTAGTCGTGGGTGGAGTGAGACTGGCTCAGGTCGTTCTCGGGCCTTACTTGATGGGAGAAAAGAACACACTGGAAACACAAGCACTTGACACCACTTCCTTTATTGTTGTTGTAAGCTGGGAGTCACTGGGGTACAACTGAGATTGTTACTTTACCACTCTCGGTACGGGATAGCTCGGATTCAAGAATTTGAGCGGGTTGTTTGTTACTTGGTAACACACCCCTGCAAGCCATGTCACAATGCATAGTACCATTTACTGCACCGTTCGCCCCATTTAATGGCACTTGGGGAATTGTATGATTTACCGCTGCCACCGCGTGTGTGGGGTCTGGGAGGGTCACCCGTTCCCACTCACTCGCGTTTCTCTTTCTTCTCCAGTCACTATGAGAATTCGTTCGGTCACTTCCTACCCTGACATTCGGCGCAAACTGACACTGCTGGTATTCGCGTAACTCGCGTAGTTGCTCTTTACAATTTAGAATTTGGGTGTTTACTTTAAAAAAACTCCGTATTGAAGAATCAGGGGTCCTGTGAAATTTGGGAACGCCTCATTGCCCTCCTCCAAATTCCTGGGTTGGCTGGATTTAGACAACAAGGGGGAGGGGTTTGATCAAGTTTATCATTCCTCCAATGGCTAGCTGTATTGCTGCGAAAGTTGGGTTCCCACGCTTTCACGATCTTTCTGACACGGGGTTGATCGATGGGGTTCAATCTCACGGTCCTCGCGGTCTTCTTAGGGTAGGTCTGTGACGAATTTGATGCCTAAATTGGCCCAGTCGTTACGCTCTAGGGAAAAAGGTTATTCCGTGTTCTTTTAGAATTCGACTGAAGGGGAATTCTCTAAAGAATGTTCCGAATGTCTTAAATTTCTTTCTCCACTGCAAGATCGAAGGTAATACTGGAATTCCTAAAACATTTGACTTCCGTGACTAATCGGGTGTTGAAAAGTTGTCCCTTTCCACGACTATTGAAACAGTTCGCAGCTCCTTTATAAAAGGAATTTTTAGCAGTTGGAGAATTATGACGGTTATGACCGGTCAGAGGGCCATCTCTCTAAGTAACAAAAGGTTGTCTCCAGCGTTCTTTTGGTCAGATTTCGCTTTTATTAGAGCATAGGACGCTTTGTAAAAGTAAGAAGAGCGTCAGGCTGGTTTTGTTTAAGTCCGGGGATTGTGACCCTTCATAAATTTTACATTCTCGGAATCTCGGAAGCAAACTTTCAAACTATAGCTTCTTTAGAAATTTCTAGCTCGTCACAAAAGTCTTTCCTGTTTCTGTGTCAACTAGTCTTCCCTTTTTTTTTTTTTTCAAATTACATAGCACGCTCGGGGAAGGAGGGAGGCCTGAGCGGGCCTGAGGTCCCTTCGTGTAAATTGGGTTCAGGTCCGTTTGGTTTGAGTGGGTTGTGGGGCATTACATCTGCTTGCATGTAGTGACAAGTATCAACATAAGTAAATAATAACAGGGTGGTCCTTTGCATTGTACGGTTATAGTATGTCACTTGGAAATTATAATAATAACTATTGTCCTGTATTTGACTAATGCAGCTTTATAGCACAGATGTGCAGAAGCCAGAAGTGTGCACCATACTGCATTTCTGCATAATGTGTACATTATTTCTTTTTTAATTTCCAGCTTACATCAGAAGTGAAAGATATTTATTATGTGAGCAGAAATATTGTGTCTTTTGGACTTTGTTTACTTTATTGGAAACTGTAAATACAAGTAGTGTTGTTCTGTATTTGACTAATGTAGCTTCATACCTGGATTTCTGTCTGTACTGGGAAGAAGTGTGCAGAATAAGGTGTATCGAGTGTATGGCTACATAATATGTACCGAAGTGTGCCATGTATTCATTTTCTTTTTTCAGAACGACGCCGGAAGCCTCAGAAGTGAAAGATATGTCTTGTGTGAATAGAAATCTCGTGGCTTTGGGGCTTGGTTATCTCTCAGAAAGTACTGATTTCCCTTCTTTATTAGATCAGCTGATAAAGGTAAGCGAATTTACTTCCTGCAAGAAGGGAAAATGTTAAAATGATGGAAATACGAGGAAATGCCAAGGAATATAGACATGACAAAAACACGAAGAAGTTAGTTTGGGGAAGGGGATTACGGATAACGTGAAAGGTAGGTTAGGTTATAGCATTTTAAAAGCAAGAAAAAGACTATAGAATATGTAGTTCGAAGAGAGGAAACATATTTACGATATTGAAAGGAGGTTTCACATGCCAAGTAGTGTAGTGTTCCCAGGTAATTTTTATGGGTTACAGGTAAATCACAGTTGCTGCCTAATGCTAGTTAATGCTACGATTTTCAACGTAGAAACATATAAAGTGCTTTAGCGTCGGAGACGCCTAGGGTCAAACGAGAGGCGGAGTTTTAAAAGCTTTTCTGTAAACATAGGTGTGTGATGGATTTGTATCACAAATGGTAACAGTATGTGTAATAACATTATCGTCATCAGGCGAAGCTAAGCTTTTTGAGCTCGCTGCTCTTGACATAAACCAGAAATGTGTTGTAATGAACCATGCAACTGAGCAGGTTAGTTGAAACGGCACCGCTTTTGAATTGTACTGTGGTAATACTCGGTTCGAATCCTGGCGTGAACAGTGTCTTGATCGGTCTTGGCTGAGGTGTGCATGATTTCCCCCGTCCCTCCAAGAGAATTCCGGAATATTACTACTAACCAGGACATGGCCCCTTCTTTCCACATCCTTTCCAAATAATTAATCACCTATATTACCATTTGATGCCATATAGACCGAGATATAGAAATTGTCATTAAATAAAGTATAAATTAATACTTGGGGGAATAAGATTACCTCAACTTTAATAGGTTGCAGTTTGCTAAGGGTAAGAATTGGTAGTTGTTTCATTTACATCCACTGAAACAGAGCATCATTTTAGTTTGAGGATGGAGTTATTGCATGCAAATGTGTTGTTCTATAAATTTTTCCTTTCCTAGTATAAATAGTAAATTGTCTTATTTTTAAGAAGACAGTTCCCAAAAGTTACAGACACTAACTGTATATAGTCATGTATCTGTATTAATTTGAAAGGTACCTGTTATTTTAATGACAGTATGGTACTGATGGTGCAAGACTTTCAGATTTTATCTGGCATTCTGTTATCAATAATTTATATGTGCACTTTGTCTTCTGAGTTGTTATTATCCCTTTCAGGAACTATGTTGAAGTGTTGAGGAAAGGTACCTGACATCAGGATCCAGAAATGATCATTGAAATTTGTTTAAAAATAAATAAAAGGTGTCCAGATGAAAGGTATCCAAAATAAACTAATTATATCCCAGAAAGTATTTATTATACACATTTATGGGTTACACCATTTTCTGTGTATATAAATTTCTCATTAAATTTCAACGTGGTCTCCCTTGGTGGCATAACAATATCCAAATGATATTTGACATCGTTCCATGTTGCTTGAAGCATGTTTGGTGTTACCATAGCCCCAGCATTCCTTATGCGGGCTTTCAGGCATTGAAGGTCATTGATCTTAACCTGGTAGACAATGTTCTTCACATAACCCCACAAGAAATAATCCACTGTAGTTAAATCTGGCATCCTAGGAGGCCAAGCAATTAGTCCACCTCTGCTGATCCATCTCCCAGCCATCTCTCTGTCCTTGTGATTCCTAAAATGGTGGCACCCAATCTTGTTGGTGGATAGTTTGAGGTAGTAATTGGGTCAGCACATACAGCTCCAGCATGTCCAAGTACAAGCATCCAGTCACAGTGTTTACAAGAAAGAAAAATGGTCCAATCAAATTGTTGTGCATTAAGCTGGCCCACATGTTCACTTTGGGACTGCCACTCTTGAACTCCCTTGTGACATGTGGAATTTGACTGACCCAAATCCTGCAGTTGTACATGTTTACAATTCCATTGACCTGGAACGTCACTTCAGCAAAGAAGCTACACTTGGTGAAGGAAATTGGGTGATGTGTCATTTCATTCTAGCATGTCCACAATGAAGTTTGTGCTTGCTACTTGAGCCCTCGATTTTAGTGCATGAATCGTCTGAATCTTGTACGGTCTTAGGTGGAGCCTTTTGTGTAGCACATTGTATGTTGTTGAACATAGAATTTGTATGTAATTGCAAGCTAGCAGCACAAATTGATTTGCACAGATTTCACTGGAATGCCTATCTAATGCAATTGACATTTTCTTCAGAGGCCCATGTCTTTCCAGGAGATTTTACATGTAACAGACTACTTGTAATCCTGAGTTTGTTGTTCCAGAACCGAATGCTTTTCCATGTAGGAGGTTGACATTCATATTGCATTCTAAAATGATGCTGGATAGCCATACGAGATAGCAACTCTGCTAGCCATAACACACATTTAATCTGTTCCTGTGGTGTCGACATAGTTACTGAGTTCGCCGAAGGTCACCAGTTGGTGCAGACGCATAAGCTGGACAGTAAAAAAACTTTCAGAGTTTTCCTTTCCAATGACATAAACCAGATATGTGTATGACAATTAGTTTCCGAGATAAAAATTTTTATTTTGGATACCTTTAATCCAGACAACCTGTATATTAGCAAGTCTTCACAAGTATGCATGCTCATTTGCAACAGAAATACTTTACATAAATATTTTAGGAAACATGGTACTGTTTTGTGAGTGACTGGATTTTGTTAAGTGACAAGTAGATTAACTTGTTTTCTTTACAGCCTGGTGTATTAGCAAATCATATAAACCCTTGTATTAGGACATATTAGGTACCATATACAGTGACTATATCTTTTGTGAAATAAAATCTAAATGGTATTGAAGTGTATTACTTTGACATATGCAGATTATATATTATTATTTATTGAATCCTATTTTATATGGTTGAAACTGTGAAGTCATGGCTACCACTTGTCACAATACTTGCAAAACATCCATTGTATTGCATGAGAATTCCATTTTTCCACAGGAAACACATATAGTTTACATATTTATTACTGGATGATTCATGGAAGTTGGTTTTCAAAGCTGAGGTAGGCCTAGTTTATCCTGGCAACTTTAATTAAGTGTTCACATCAATGAATGATAATATGTGGGTGCCTTGTTTCCCATTTTTGGCATGATCAGACAGCATTAAGGAGATATGGCATTGAGATTGAAACCAAGTATGTCTGTAAACAACTGTGTTCTTGTTAGGCACGTGAGTTGGCCTACACTGACATGATATTCACACTTAATGAAATGAGGGAAGTAAGGTACAAAACATGGCTATACAGAGTGAATAGCATGACTTGAAAACCTGCCATAGTGTAAGTTCAAGTCTGTGGTCTGGATAGTAACACCATGCAGTTTATGGGCAGATAGTGGCATTGAGAAGGAACATCCTGCCTCCAGCTTCACTCAACCCTGAAGATGGAGGCATCCTATTTCTCTCAAACATTGATATGTGCCCACAAAACTGCATGGTGTCAACCCAGAGGATTGCACTCTTAATAATCATTGCTGTGAAAACCTCAAAAGCTTATAATATTAGTTTACTTGGTTTTGCCCAGACAAGTGTATGCCTATATATCTGCTGTTTTTGTATAATCTTTGAATATCTGTGCTTTACAGTTTCCTTTTTCTTATGAAGTTGCATACATGCTCAAATTTCTCTGTCTAGTGCTTTAACTTAAGAAATTGTGTTAGGTTGACAATTCCAATTTAAATTTATATATTAAGCAATCATTATTTTTAGATACTGCTTGAGGAGAAAGGCAGTGAGAAGTTTGCTTCAAAGTATAATGTGGCCATATTCATTGAGCTGGAGTCAGCTGCCCTTATATTCAGTGCAGCAGATGTTGAACTTATATTTGTTGCTTTGAAAGTAAGTAACTTGCTTTGATTTTAATCAAGTTTTGAATAATTTATATTGATACATAAAGTTATCAGTGTGCTTAACTAATTAAGCACTCTGCAATGAAGATGTGGGGAGTGGATTTATAGATCCACATTTTCTTGACATCGGCACTTTGGAGGTGAGTGGTCAGCATCATACCCTGGCCACTTTACCCTCGGGGAAAGAGCCCCTGGTATCCATTGATAGGGGGCTGGGTGGGCCACAGAAGTGGTCTGAATGACATGGAGAGGAGAAAAATCCTGCCCTTATCAAGACTTGAACTTTGACCCCTTGGCCCTCCAGCCCATAGCCAGTCACTGTACTGACTGCACTACCATTCCAGCTCCTTTATATTGATACATATAATTTAAATTCTACCTTTTCATCACAGCCCACAGGGTAGAGAACATAGAGGATGTTTGCCGGAGAGGAAAAGTGACTTTATTGTACTGTTGGTAATAGAACTGGAAGGGAAGGCTTTCTGTGAGAGGTTATGCGTACCAAGGTAATATATGATGGTAGAGATCCTACCAGTTTGGTATAACAAGACTGTGTATTTGCACCATTTTCAGGCTAGTAACAATGATGGATGGTAGTTTGGTGGCTTGGGTTCGTTTTGATGTGGTGTGGATAGCGTAAGTGAATGTGTTGCTTTATATTGGATTGTTGGGGGTTGTCAACCACAGTTGCTAAGCTTCAGTGGGGGGACGATGATCCTAAGCTGATTATATTGTTCTTAGTCTTTTGTATTATTTTGTACATTTGAAAGAGTTGTTGGCTTTTAGTGTTTCAGATGGTTTAAACTGTCCTGTCCAATTGTACTTGTATAACAGATTATGGGTGTAAATAAATTATAAATTATGAAGTTTAAATTTTTATTAAATTTTGACTTGGCATTTCCATAATATTGATCTGATTATGTAGTACAGATATGTTCAAATTATTTTATTTTTTTTCATTAAAATTTGTAGACATATGTTCCCATATGCTTGGATTTGTGTCTGCATAACACTGATTCCTTATGGTATATGTACACTACCATAGTCAATAAGTTTGTGGACTGGCCATAAAGCATCATTGCAGTGCACTACAGTGGACATGTCAGTTCATCTCCCATCACAGCAAGAGGCAGTTGTGTGCAAACAGTGTAAGCAGAACTACTGCCTCTGTTGTGAACTGCAGTTAAATGCAAGTGGCAGAAATTAAAAATGTGGCAGTTTGAACAATGGGCAAACATCAAGTTCTGCCAAAAACTAGGCAAATCCCCTAGCGAAACGTTTGGCATAGGAAGAATTGGCTGTTGCTACATGACAGTGCCCCTGCACATCGCTCTGTTCTTGTCGAAGAGGAACTAACAAGGCAACAGGTCACTGTTTTGCCACACCCTCCATACTCACCTGATCTCGCACCATACGATTTCTTTCTCTTTCACCACTTGAAAGCAAAGCTACGTGGTCGTAGATCTCAATCATCCGAGGAGGTCATCAATGCCACAAGAGACACTTTATGGGAATTTCCTACCAGTATGTTTCAGCAATATTTTCAGCAGCTATATCAACCTTGGCAGACTTGCATAATGGCCAACAGCAACTATTTTGAGGGCCGATGTAGATCTGTGGACGTGTATGTGAATACCCTGTAATATGATGCGATAAAAACCACAGTCCATGAACTTAATGACTGAACCACGTAGATCCTACACAAGTATATTTATTAATTTACAAATGGCTGGGCATATGTTCCCTTATGCTTGGATTTGTGTCTCTGTACCACTGATTCCTTGTGGTATAGAGATCCTTCACATGTATATTTATTTTTATAAATAGCTGGGCATAAATGAACATGCACTGTGCAAGAGAGTAAGAAATTATGTACATAACTGATTTATAAAATGTATATTGGAAAATATTTATTTAGAATCAGGTGTAAATGGGAGAATTAAGTTGGACATAACTTCAGTCAAGGTTATGAGGAAATATAAATGCATAATACTGTTAGATATTCTTACTAGACACAGGGATTGGGTTGGAAATAGGTTTTTTAAACTCTTATAGCTCTTAATTACAAGTAATTATAATGCTTTCACTAACTTATCATTACAACACATTCTAAGTCTTCTCAGTTTTCCATGTTATCACTGGTCATTGCCTGCTAATGGCTCCAGAAATAAATACTCCTCTATTTCCGTGTTCCTGTTCTCACTGGATGGCCATTCACTCAAAATTCCCTCAGTCCTGCTCACAAAATCTGAGTCGTGCCATGGCCGACAGTCAGCTGACCAGTCCGGCTTAGCACATGTGTGCACAACACACGCTCGTGCGCGCATGCAAAAGTAACAATTATTTTTGCTGTTGCAGATATGGAAGTACTTTTTTAATTTGTGGTTGTGACACAGTTACCAAGTATTGTGGTTTCCTTCAGTCCTTGGAGATAAACTCCAGAATAGTATCATGAAATTCATCATGACTGCTTTTTCCCCCATCCTTTCCAGGTTCAGATGCATGAAATATGTATATGAATATGAATTCAGCTTATAATTCACAGACACTCTTGCTTAAAAAAGTAACACAATGTATTTAAATACCAAATACAGAATAAAATTGATGCAGACAGGGAAATAAATCCCTGAATTTCAGTGTATACAGTTTTTACTGTAGCTTGTAAATAATAATGTGTCTTTTCTCATTTTCAAGAATGTTTTTCAAGAATGTACAAAAGAAAACTCTCCACTTCTTCATGGTCAATGTATTTTGTCCATGACAACTGTTCTGTTGCAAGCATTTGAGAAGGTAAGTTGCAGATGTAGTATTTCAGTTGCTAGAATATAAGTATATTGGAATCTGTATTGAGAGAATCTGATTTTCACTAGGCCCAAACTCTTTAGCCCCATGTACATGAGTTGAGAAACCAGTAAAGGTTTTGTGCACTGACCACTATGACCATTTTCTCGTGCCACATATATGAGGTGTATGGGAAAGTTTCCAGACTAGGTAAGAAAATAATTCTGTTTTAACCTACTCAATTTTGGCTGCCATCTCCTTCAAAATAGTCTCATTGGAACATATACAGCTATCCCATCATTTTTCCCATGCTTCAAAAGTCCTGTGGAAGTTATTTTCCTTAATGCTGTCTCGAGTACTGCTTGTGATCCCCCTTGGATGTCGGACACAGTTTCAAAACATCTTCCCTTCAGTTTCATTTTCAATTTGGGAAACAAAGCAAAATCAGAGGGGGCTAAGTCCAGCGAGTAGGGAAGATTTTGTTAGTCGCAAACTCTTTGGTTTTCAGGGGCATGTGGGCGGGTGCGTTGTAATGAAGGAGGAATAATGTTGTGCACATTCAGATTTTCTAAGATCTCCTGGCAAACTCTGTAACTGATCCAAGTGGTATCTACAAGCTCATGGATTTTTTGGCAATGGTCTTCATGGATGAGCTCTCTAATTTTTTCACAATTTTGTGTCAGTTTTGTGGTGCCCTGAATGTTTGTCATCTTCAACTGATACTCAACAGGCCTTGAAATGTGAATGCCATTCAAAAAGTGCTGTCTGACTAAAAGAATGTTCTCCAAAAGCCTCACGAAGCATTTCAAGGGTTTCAACAGCAGATTTACCGAGCTTCACGCAAAACCTGATGCAAGACACATTGCTTGATTTTGCCATCCGTCACAGAAAAAATGAAACACAAAGTTGAAAAAGCATTTGTATTAAAACAGTGCATGTTCACAGTGCAGTGTAAAATGGCAGACTGATGCAGTAGGCTTTTGGAAGTGTGACCTTGGCCTTGCCTCTCATTTTCTTTCACCAATGCAGTTACAGCAATAACAGTCTGGGAACTTTCGGATACCACCTCATATGGTCTGAGTGCATTGTGATCGTGATCAAGATACACTACTGCTCACTGGATTACTTAATCCAGGATTGTTAGATTCTGAGTGGACTAGAGTCATGAAACATTCATATAGTGAGTGTTTGCTTCCTGCTTGCAATCTTTTTTTTTTTAAGATGTCTTGTCAGAAAGATGAATCTAATGATATTTATTCACAGCTTATTCAGTATAGTGACTATGCTACAGAGTGGGTGTCTGAGAAATTTGGAATTGACAGGGACAGAGGCAATGGATTTATTGCCCTTAACAGTGCACAGAGTGCAGTGTGCAGTGCTCATGATGCATGTGTTTTGTTCAAGTTTTTTTTTGCTGATTTCAAGGGCATGCGATCCCAACAAGTTTCCTCACCTTTATAGATGTGACATATTTGCTAAAAGGAGTCAGGGTAGCATAGTCGGTATAGTGACTGGCTACTGGCTTTGAGTCTTGGTAGGTTCAAGAATTTTCTCTTCGCCAAATCATCCAGACTCTGCTCCAAGGAGTTACATAGTTTTTTTTTTAAACATTTTGAACATGTGTTTATTTATACTTATATATGTTTGTACATCTTTGCTATTTGTGCCATTCCTGTAGGAAGAAAACAATCAGCAACCAGCAAATGGGGGTTATGATTACTTTTAATAATGAGATTCCTCAGATAATTGTGTAAGAAATCTCATACTGCATTTACTTTTCTTCTTGAGGTTCTGTGCTGAAGCTCTTTAGTTACTTTCATCCATATAAATGGGTTTCTGTGTGTATATATTGTGTATTTGCTTGTGAACAAGGTAATTGAAAAATAGGTACTTCAATTTGAAAATTTCACTTGGAGAACAATAATATTTAGTCAGTCTAGAAACTAAAACACACTATTGGAGCTGCTGTATCACGATTTTCCTTACTTGACTTTATGTCACCATGATGAATTTTCTAATTATTATAGCATTTAAATTTTGCTTGTTCAAAGCTGTGTCTTCACTGATTTGATTCTATCATTAAGTAAGTAAAATGCATTCTTAATTATGTTAATGAGATTAAATTTGACAAATCTTACATCAACATAGCTCCAAAATAACTTCAACTGAATTTTATTCTCTGACTGAATGAATTTGGATTTTAATGAGCAGTCAGCAAAAGTCTGGGCTGTAATTGCTGAATCTGAAGATGATCTGTAGCGCTGAAGTGTTTAAGAAAGATTCTAGGAAGATGGAAAAATTTTGGTTTGTAATACCTTTAAGAGCCCTGTAGGGCTAATGCTGTCTAGGTGGTGGTCATGACTGGTCAGTTAGGTGTAGTTAACACTCTAGGCTTATGTTTTGGAGGTGCTGGGACACCATGTGTCCCGACTGAGGTTTTTGTAGTTTTTCTCAGTGCCCCCAGGAAAATTCTGGGATGGTGTGTATATTAGACCATGGCAACTTTTTTTGCATATTCTTGCCAATCCATTTTTCATCAGTCATCTTACCATTTTATGCTGTATAATCTAGATACTGACATTTTTATAAAAGAAAGAAAAACGAAGGTTTGTGATAAGATCACCCTGTGCTATAAACAATACAGTATTTAGACTCAGTATTCTCATTTTATGGTCAGTAAGTGCCTTTTTATTTAAATGGCATCTTCTTTGCAGGTGAATGAAGAAGAATTAGGGGTACTGTTTACAGAGCATATTGAGTTCCTCTTGGGTTTAGTGAATCAGACAAATAATGTGAACAACATCCACATACGTTCCATTGCTGCCAGATGTCTTACTGAAATAGAAATCTGCTTTCCTGCAAGTATTTTAACCTCTCTTATGCTTTTCGGAAACTGTAGTTTGATGAATCACTGGTTTTATGATCTCCATTGTATTCATATAAATTTATAAACATCTTTTTCTCTTTACCTAATTCATTTGCTGTCCCTTGCCCCATTTATTCTTCAGTGTGTGCTGGGTGCCAGTATAATTAAGTGCATATATGTTTATCCACATGTATACTAGCACATACTCATGCTTACATTTAATCTATAAACTTAATTTTATATACAGGGTGTCCCAGGAGGAATGTGCCAAACTCTGGGGGGGTGTTTCTTATGTTATAGTATGCCGATATAACCCAAAACACCCATGTCGAAAGTTGAACGGTTACGGAGATAATGGCCTGAGAGAAGTGTGGTCTTCTGGCGAGTCCACGCACTGTACCTGTCAGCTGGCATGTCTTATCTACGTTTGTCCTTGAGTGTGATGATGGCAGCTCACGTTAGCCCCATACACTCGCATACCAGAACGCGCAGTCAGCAATGTTACGTCAGCGCTTGCCATTCATGTGTCATGTATAGTGCTTGGAACTCTTAACTACAACTTTGACATNATATATATATGCATGCATGTGTGCCACACATGCTTGCATGGGAAAATTTGGTTTACTGACTAGACATTCATGAGTGTTCCTAGCAGTATAGGCACTTTATGGATAACAATTGTTATAATGTGAAAAATACCCTATATCCGAATGTATAAATAAAGTGGTCAATAATTAAAAGTCATTGGTGTTTGTACACTGTGAACTGACTGACTTTTGCGCTGATAAATTGTAAATGCTAAGTTATTAACTGAGCAGAGGCATTAATGTTGTATTCTGTGATGTTCTATGTTTTCTTATTTCTTTTCAGATGTAAAAATTCATGAATTAGGAGGCAGAACTGTGTACTTCACTGATACTTCAGCAAAAACAAGGAAATCCCTTCACTGATGTGGCAGTGTTCCTACTACAACGTAATGTAATAGCACAGTACACAGTTCTGCCTCCTAATTCATGAATTTTTACATCTGAAAAGAAATAAGAAAACGCAGAACATCACAGAATACAACATTAATGCCTCTGCTCATTTAATAACTTTTTTTTCCCCCTTGGTACTACAGCCCCAGTGGTCCTAGGCCTACCTCCATGAACTTCTCCGTTCACTTCGGTTTTTCTTGATCTTACACATTCGGTAGGACTCCTTGGGCGGGTGATCAGCTCATCGCAAGGCATTTAATAACTTAGTATTTACAATTTATCAGTGCAAAAGTCAAACAGTTCACAGTGTACAAACACCAGTAACTTTCTTAAACATATTGCCACGTGTTGGAGTGACTGTAGACAGGGTTTGGATTGGTGACTTGATTTATTGATCACTTACACGCTCATGACTCGTGACTGCACTCTACAGATCACTGACAGACTAGTGTCCTCAGTCTATTACAGTCTCCACTAGCTGTTTCCTGGCGATGGAGTTTAACACAGGAACTATAACAGTCTCACTGAATTACACACTCTAAATATAACACATGAAGTCATCTCTACACAGCAGGATTTTCAGCTGAGCACTCTTGCAAGTAACTAGTTGCCCCAAACCATCCTGGTTATAACAGCTTGGCACAGACCACATAGCATATCCTCTTCCTCTGTTGCTATACCATTGTTGCATTCATGTCTGTTGCTGTGGGAATGTATTTACTGAACTGTTGCCTAGAATGGCTCTGGTATATTTGCTTATCTCACAGTTGTTATATAGTAATGGCTATACAGGTTGCAATATAAACATACTAGGATCAATCCACATCATGTACAGGAACACAAGATGAAGTTATTGCATTTAGCGAGACTTTTGGTTGGAGATTGCATCGGAAAGGAAACCAAATGGGTTTGCTGCAGTGTCACATGATATGTTTACAAGTGAAACTGCCACTGGAACAGTTTTGTTCGAGAAATGCAAATCATAAAAATGTTTGTCACTTGTGGCTGTTCCTATAGCAATCTGGAAATGGGATGGTCCAGTCTTATAAGTGACTGTTCCTTTGAGTCCAAACTGAATGACCTAATGATAGTAAGATCACAAAATTTGCAAAACCCCGATTGATGTAAGAGATCCATAGATTCTTGAGATTTTCTTGACATCTATCTGACTGACAAAATTAGAGAGACCTTATTTAACCGTTCAGCGTGGTTTGACGTGTATGTTTCGTCAGGTATTTAAATCGTCTGGGGGGGTTCGACGTGTATGTTTCGTCCAGCTGCACACCTATGTTATAACGCCCATAATAATTTATGGTTTTGCTGTAGATTGTTAGATTTTTCACTGGCCTGTTGTCAGGAGAACTGTATTTAATGACACACGAGTTTAAGAGCGCTAAGTCATCGTTACATATGCCTGTCTTGCAGCAAAGTTCCTGTGGCTATTGCGAGCGGTTCTACTGTTATGAAGGGCGTGTTTTCTTTGCTATGAAGTTATAAACAACAGAGACGTGATATGTGCTGTGTTTATAATATCATATTGCCCTGAGCTGGCCACACTAACACACTCAATTGGAATTCTTAGAAGAGGGATGTCCAAAAATTTATTCTTGCATGATCGATTGATTTCGCACAGTATATAGCACCCAGTTCTTAGAAAAACGTCACGAATTAAGGCAGAACACTGTGGTCACCCCCTGAGACGATACGGATGTGTGTGGGGGAGGGAAAGAACTCATTCCTTCATGTATTATCGCTCCAGTTGACGCCATTTTATCGTACTGACCTT